CGCCGTGCCCGGCCGGCGTGTGGGAAAACGGGGAAGACATAAAAATTTTCTTAAGGAAAGCTGTTCTTTGGTGTTTGATCTTCGTGAGCGGAGAGGAAGGAATGCCGGCTGCTGGGCGCCTGCAGCAGGGCGGCTGGAGGGGCACTGAGCCCTGCGACACGGGGAATGAGGGACATGTGCAGGAATTTATTGGCTCCAGCCTCTGGAAGGCCTTTCCATCTGAACTGCTGTGGATCAGAGGCAGTGGGCGGCAGATCAAGCTAAGCCTCGATCTTCCCCACTCTCTCTCTCCAGACCTGTTTCCTAGGACATTTCCAGCCCTTCAGGATCGGCAGGACTCGCCCCCAGCCCTGCACAGCCAGCCCCCCTCTTTCCGAGGCTCCAGGAGTCCTTCCCTCCTGCCTGGCCAAACCAGAGCTCCCTCCCGTTCCCTGCCCACACGGTCAGCACGCAGGGAGGGAATGCAGGGCCTGGGGGCTTCTCCAGCTCCCAGCCATCCCTCTTGGTAAGGAAACTTCCCTGCATGCAGGAGGCCCTCTGGCAGTCACACTTCCACCACCCGAGACTGTCACTGCTGGAACCAAAGCCTCGTCACAGGGGCTCCAGCGAGCCCAAGGGTCCCTGCTTGACTCCCCACGCCCCCCAACTCACACAGTCAGACCACGTTTCCATACCAGTTCAACCCCAGGTTTCCCATAGCAGACACTCAGATGTCTCGTTCCACGAAGCCATTTATTCACAGCGCAGGAACAGAAACAGCTTGAGCTGGTGTCTCTGAGCACGGACCTTGAACCCCTGGGGCTTTTGTACTTTCACAGTCCAAGCACATAAAGTCTTAGCTCTCCCTCCCAAGTCTCCAGTTCCTGCCCCGTCTCTGAGTGTCCGATTCCCTCGCCGTGCCACAGGTCCCCATGCCTCGATGTCCTGCCACCCAAAGCTCAACCTGCAGCTCCCACTGCAGCTGCACCCCGAGCTCCCTCACCAAATGTATTCCTCAACATCTGTGCTTTCCAGTTGCAACTGCACACGCCCTCCTGGGAGCACATACTTGAGCTGATGGAGCTCCCTTAGCACTGCCCGAGGGTGCAGATGTGTGTGAACATGTGGCCCTTGTGGCTGAGCGCTCAGCACAGCAGAGGGAATTTGGGGCGCAGCTGGTGCTGCTCCTCCACTTGCTGAACAGGAGAAGAGCTGCAGCTGGAGCATGTGCCAGAAACTGCTTTGGAAGGAGAGGAACACCATCCCTGGGCTGTGCCTCTCGCTGTTTCTCAAGACACCTGTGGTGATTGTTGTACAGCCAACAGATTGCTGTGCCTGTCTCTTGCCTTTGTTTGACGAGCAGGAGCTCTGCAGGGGGAAAGCTGCCCTGATGAACCAGAGGGGCTGGAGGAATGGGCACCAGAGACCTCACCAAATCCAGCCCAAAAGGGGTAGGAAGTGAGAGCAGCAGAAACGAGGGCAGGGGAGACTGGGAAGGCAGCAGAGAGGTGTCTGGGCTGAGGGGGAGCCTGAGTAAAGGGGAAGGCAGGGATTTCCCTCGGCCTGTGTTTCTCTTCTGTTTCTCAAGATGTGAATCAGGAATTAGATGTTGACAGGGATGGGCCAAATATCCAGTTTGGTGCAATTGCCTGAGTTGCAGCTGCTTGGCCGTGACAGGGAAGAAGGTCTAAAAAGGGAGAAAAGCCAAAGTGAAGCCCAAACCAGGCATCTTTGGCGTGGCAGTTCCTCGCATTTCTTCCTTTGGCGAGGACACCTGCTTTGCCTCCCAGACGGACAGAACAGAGCAGGGGAAGGGGCCTGGGGACGTGAGCTCTCTCAACTGGGTCACACATAATGGGAGGCCCACAGGGGCCTCCAGGGGGTCCCCACCCACGGGTTTGGTGGACACTTTCTGTGTGACAGGATGTCATCACAGTGGTGTGACAATGCAGTGATGTGACATCACTATGGTCTCACAATGTCCCGTGGGTATATTAAGACCAACTGTTGTGCCTCTGGAGCAAGATCTATCTGGAGTCAGTGCAGGATCGTAACACCATGAAAGCTCTTGGAAGAACCCGTGGAGCACCATCTCATTGCTGGTGTCCTGCTGAAAGGCAGAGGCACTGCTGAGTGTATTGGGATATAGGGGGGGAGGGGAGCCCTGGGCAACAGACAGGGCTCAGCTGGGGAGCTGGGACACAGGGGCTGCTCTAGGGCCTCAGGACCTGTCCTCTCTTGCAAGTGCTGTGCAAGTGTCTGTGTGTTCCCAGCTTGGCCCCAGAACACCACACCTGGGAGAAGGATACCTGTGAAATGGATCCTAAACTGCTGGATCTCCCACTCGCAGTCAAGATCCCTGTGTTTCCTGGATCCAAGCCTGTCTTGTGCAGGGCAAAACTGGGGGAAAAGGTAAAGCAAGTAGAAAGGGGTAGATCAGCTCTCCTCTCTGGTGAGGTCCCCATCAGGTAGAGGAGTTCCTGTGGCCATCTGCTCTACAGCAGGAGCTGCAGCCCTTCAGTCGGACAGGGCTGGGCAGTGGAGGGAAGCTCAAACTCCCTGGAATGCAGAGAAAAAGGACTTGTCAGTTCTCTGCACTGGTTTCTGGCTTGGTGCACGTGTGTGGCAGGGCCCACACCTGCAGCAGGTGACTTTGTGTCGGGGTGCCGGGGCAATGTGCCCTCCCGCTCACCCAGCAATGTCAAACCGGGCTCTGGGGCACCTCTGAGGGGGACTCCAGCCTTCTCCTGCTTGCCCTGTTGGCGTATTTGGAGCAGCTTTGCCTTCCCTTCTTGGGGAATGCACACACTGTCCTCCTCCTCCTGCAGCCTGTGCTGCTCATTCCCAGGGCAGAGACTTCCCGGTGGCAGCGTCAGTCGGCACAGCCCTTGGGCCTGCCTAAGCCAAGGAGACTCTTTCCTGCATTCTCCATTGGCTGCATTTGAATGCTGCGCTTGACCTTTGAAGGCTCATTTGTGGATGGGTCTGCAGCTCTTCCACCTGCCTATTTGCTGGTGGGTTGCTGGTGGGGTTTGTCTTCTCTGCCCCAGCCTATCACAGCCCAGCCTGACCCCACAGTTTGGCTCTGTGGGTCTCTGTGCCTTCAGAAAGATGGAGAAGACTTGGTCTTCAACCTTTACCTTTTCACAAGTACCATGTGTCACATCTTTGCTGCTCTCTCCTGACTCCTTCATACTCTGGAAAATCTCTCTTACAGCTTCATCGGCCATTTCCTTATTTCACCCTGGATGATCCCTACAACCACCACCTCACTATACAATACAACTGCCTGCATGACCCCCTCCTGCGGGACTACCACCATCGCAAGGATGTCCTGAAGTTGCTGAGGAGACAGGGCTTTGTCACCCGTGACAATAATGTAGGTTTGGGTGTTGGGCTGATCAAGAACAGCCCTCTCCAAGCGGGTTCCCAGAGCACTCGCTGCAGCCGCCTGCTGTGGGCAGAGGGCAGGGCTGTGGGCTGGTTTCCCTGGGAGCAGAAATGGTGCCAACATCCCCCTGGGAAGTCCCAGCCCTGCTCCTCTCAGGCTGCCCCGCGCTGCCCGTGTGCTGAGGAGGCAGCCGGGGCGAGGCCTGGAGCCGGGGCGAGGAGCCCTGGCCGGGGGGAATCGGGGGCTCTGACACCAGGGGCAGTGGGGGCAATGGTGAGCAGAGGAGCAGCTCCCCTCCCACTGGGGAGGGCAGTTCTGCATGGCTTGACACTGCCTGGGGGGTTCTGCCCTCATCCCTCCATAGGTGGTTTGCACTGTGAAGGAGTTCAATCAGTACAGGGACTACCTGACCAGGCGTAAGCTGTTTTCAGAGCAGATGTTGATGCGGAAAGAGGTGGGCAAAGCAGTGTGTTCATGGGCACAGGGTGGTGCTGAGGGCTGGGGCTTTCCTTGCAGGGGAGGTGCTCAGTGCACAAGAGGTGAGGGCTGTGCTGAGGGCCGGGCCTTGTGGCGAGGAAAGGACTGCGCGGCTCGGGGCTGAGGCAGCGCGGGGTGCTGGGGTGGGCACGGGCACGAGGACTCCAAGCACATGGAGTCCTGAGGGAAGCCCTTCTCTCCTGCCCTCGTTGCCTGGCTGAAGCAGAGTGCTGTCCTGGACCTGTGGGAAGCCTCAGCACTTGTCCAGGCAGCAGCGGCCACAACCTGGTGTCACCTTTCAGGGAAGGACTCAGCCACCCCCGGCCAAATCAAAGCATGGCCCCAAACGGCCCGGAACCACCAACACTTCCCGCCAGGCGGAGCAGCGGCTGAAGGCTCAAAAACCATCTTGCCCACCTCAGCCCAAGAACAGGAAGACTCCCCTCAAATCGGGCCAAATCTACTCCAGAGCTGGGCTGGGCCAGGAAGGTGCCAAGAAGAGCACTCGTGCTCAATCCCAGAGGAAGCCAGACACTGCTGCCAGCGGCCTGTTTGAGCAATCAACAGAAGCCCAGAAGCTTGAAGAGCTGGCTGAGACTGTGGTGCGAAAAGTGTTGGAGAGGTTGAAGGTTCCCAGGGATAAGCGTGTCAGCTGTCTAAGGAGGATTGCGCAGGCGATCAGAGGAAGATTTTTTGGCAGCTGCATGAGAGTAGAGCTTTCGGATTCTTCTGTAGATCACCGTGATGAAATGGAAGCGGTGGCCACAGAGCTTGTAGCGACTGTGCTGGAGATCTTGGGGGAGCGTCTGGCATCCAGCACGTCCAAAGCTCCTGAGCCAGAGGCAGCAGCCAGGCAGAAGGAGCAGCCTGTTGATGGAGGAGCCACCCAAGCAGGCGAATCCAAGGAAAATGAAATAGCCACTTTGGACATAGCATCTGCACAGTCTTCCCTTGACAAACTCACCAGAGAAGTTGTTGAGAGTGTTCACTGCACCTTGCAATCCTTTGCAGCTTCTCAGTTTGAACAAGACTCTACTTGTGAGCACACTGAAATTCTGGAGCTTCCCGGGGGAAACGACTCCAACAGAGAGCTGCAGCCAGGATTCCCTGGAGCATCTGAACAGCAGAACCTGGAAGCAAGCACAGGAGTGAAGTTGCCTGCCTTAGAACCACAGCAGCGTGTAAAAGGGACCGGCCGTGCCAAAACCGTGGAGCCTGAGGGTCTTGCAACAGTGGAGGAGAACTTGGAGAAAAAAATGAATCTGGAGTCAACCGCCTTAGCTGACTCTTTGGATATAAGGTCCATGGCAGATCGGATTGTTGACTCGGTGTTAGAGCGGATGAACGAGCCTGAGGCTGCACTGACCACCCAACAGGATTGCAAAGGGCCTGTGGCAAACCCCCGGATTTCCCGCCAGCCCGTCCCTCCGGCGGGGCCGAAGCCCCCTGCCCAGGCCGGAGCACGGCACAGAGCTGTGCACCCACAGCCCATCTGAGGAGAGCGAGGTGTGTGGCAGGAGAGGTGAAGAGCCCCCGGACAGCAAACACAGACCCACACCCTTGTTTAGCCAATAAAGAGTTTGCTGCCAAGGACTTGCTTGTGCTTCCTTCGAGCCAGGCCAAACTGTGTATGGGGGTTTTTCATGTTGAAACCTGTCCCATCCCCTTCTGCAGCCTCAGTCTCACTGAGACACAGCTTCACAGGAAATCAGAGGTAGGGAGGCAAGGAGTAGCCAGCATTTTTTGGCTTGCTTGGCAAGCTTTGCTGTCAGGCAAGTTGAGGAATGGGTTGGGGCCTTCTCTGCCTTCTCTGGGAATCTGTTCAGGCCTCATCTGTAAAGTTTTCATTTATGCTCAGCACGGGCAGTGTTGTGCACCCCACAGGATTTGCTGTCAGCGGGAGCTGTGCCAGGACAGCTGGCAGTGGGAGCTGAGCTGGCAGCGGGACAGGCAGGGCACTGCCCTGACCAGCACAGGCCAGACCAGCGGTAAATGGGAGCAGAGCAGGGACGGTGACAGTGATCAGATGAGCACTGGAAAATCCCACAGGGATGAGGCAGGTCAGGGGAGGAGGTCAGTGCCCAGGCTGGGATCAGGGTCCCCATCATCACAGAAACAGCTGACCCAGCTCAGGCAGAGACCCAAGGGCAGGCTCTGTGATCAGGTGACATTCCTGAGGAGGAGGGAGGAAGTTCCCACTGGGGTGTCCTACAGCTCCCTCCCTTCAAGGGCCTCAGTGCAGCAGTGCTGTGGGAGAGCTGGCCCCGAGCTCAGCAGCTCTGCTGGCACTGCCCGTGCTGCCCTGGCCCACGGCCCAGCACGGACAGTCACTCCCGTGAGGGGCAGTGCCCCGAGGAGCAGCCCCGGCGAGCGCCCGGGGGAGCAATTTCTGCCCGAGAGCCCCGCTCCTCCCTGCCCGGCCACCCTGGGCCCTCGTGGCCGGGGACAGGAGGGGGCTCTGTGCCCGCAGGGTTTGTCTTCCCTGCCCAAGGGGCTCTGCCAGAGGCGGGAGCCCTCGGCTGCCTCCGCGCAGCCCACGCGGGGTCACTGCAGCCCGCGCAGCCTGCTCTGCCGAGAACAGCCCTGGGGAGGAGATGCGGGCCGGCCCCGCGCACGGGGGTCACACATTCACCGGGGCAGAGTCCCTGCCCTCCACACCGACGGGCAGCAGGCCAGGCATGAGTTTTCTGCGTCCAGCGCTCCCCATCGTGCTTCATCCTGCTTGTACCTGTTTTTGTCAGAGGCTGCTGGGGGTCCCACAGGTCTGCCTGACCTCCAGGCTGCTCCCAGGGTGGGAGGTGAGTGACTCACCTTGCCAGCATGCCAGCATCACAGCAGCACTCCACATCTGGCTACTTTCTACCTTGAGACAGTTTCTCACCCCCTTCTCTGCCGACCAGAGCACCCCAGACCAGAGGCTGGGAACCAGCTGCAGGTTTCCAGGGAAGTGTGTCCACCCTCAGTCTGTGCCCTTGGCCAGAACAGGCACAGCCCCATCCATGGAGTGGCTGGGAGAGACACACAAACAGGCAGGGCCTTCCACATCAGTGCACCCAGACATCCCTGCTGATTCAGCTGGGAGAAGGGGGCAGGCTGTAGACCCTTCACATCCCCGTCCTTTATGGGGCTGTCTACTTGCAGATGATTGAGATCCTGCTCTACTGGCCTTCCTGTGGTCCCTGGGGCTTTAGAGTCTGGCTAAACTGCCCTGAGAGTGGGGAGATAGCACCCACTGGGGGACACCCAGCCCAATGTTTCCCATTTGCAATTGCAGTGTCCTTGTCTTCCCCAGCAGGAAGGTCATTTCAGGGAAGCTGAACCTCACAGCTGAGGCAATCCAGTAGCTCACTGCCCTCAAAGGAGAGGGTCCTGCTCCCCCTCCACTCCATGCCCTCCACTTTCCTCACCACCTACCCAGTCTCCCCGCTTCCCTGTGATCTGAACAAAGGACCAGACATGGCACAGAAGGGATGGAGGAAATGGGGCTGCAAGTGGAGATGAGATGACATAACCCACTAGTTCTCCTTTGGGAGAAGTCATAGCTTTGCAGACCAGTGTTGAGCTTCTGAACACCTTCGTGGCCTTGGGCCCCAATTCCTGCCAGCCCCCATCCCCTACAGCTGAGGTCACGCAGTCCTCCAGCCCTCAGACACAAGCTCCCTTTATGGGAGTAAACACTAAACACTTCAGACAACATGGGATCACTTACTCGGTGACACAGTGGAAGGTCCAGGCAGAGGCCTGGGCAGGATATGCAGGTTCAAACCTTTGTGGCCTGGGCAGAGTCCTCAGCTGGTGCCCCCTCCTTTGGAAGGCACAGTAGAAATGAAAAGTGACTCCATGTGTCCCAAAAGCTTTTCTGCATGGCCACCTGTAAGCAGTCAATGCTGGCAGGGTCCCTCTGTGGTCCACCTCACTCTGAATGCCCGTGCTTTTCCCCGTCCCCTCATCCTGCCTGAGCTCCTTTCCCCAGTTGCATCCACACCCAGTTCTCTCCCCCATTAACCATGGCTGACAAATGCTGTGGGAAAACAGGAGCTCTAAAAGCAGCAACGCTGAGCAGCTAAATCAGCTTTCCCCATCTTCCTGCTGGTGAGTGTCCTGCAGACAGTCCCCGGGTGTGCCAGAGCCAGAGCCCTGCCCGGCACAGCCCCCGCTCGGTGCTGCCTCCACGAGCTGCTTGTGCCGAACCTGCTGCACCCACAGACCATCCAACCAGCGCTGGGGCAGCAGTGGGACAAGGACCCTCCTGTCTCTGCTTGGCCCTTGCCAGGACCCTGCTCCAGCACGGGCCTCCCATGGGGTCACAGCCTCCTTTGGGCATCCACCTGCTCCAGTGTGCGCTCCTCCAGGGCTGCAGGGGGGTCTCTGCACCCCGATGCTCCTCCAGGGCTGCAGGGGGGTCTCTGCACCCCGATGCTCCTCCAGGGCTGCAGGGGGTCTCTGCACCCCGATGCTCCTCCAGGGCTGCAGGGGGGTCTCTGCACCCTGATGCTCCTCCAGGGCTGCAGGGGCACAGCTGCCTCACCGTGGGCAGCAGCACAGGCTGCAGGGGAACCTCAGCTCTGGTGCCTGGAGCACCTCCTGCCCCTCCTTCTGCAATGACCTCAGCATCTGCAGAGTTGTTCACGTTCTCACTCCGTTGTTCTCGTGCTGCAATTTTTCCTCTGCACAGTAACCTTCTTTCTCTTCTTAAATATGTTACCCCAGAGGCATTACTGTCATTCCTGATGGGCTTGGCCTTGGCCAGCGGTGGGTCTGTCCTGGAGCCAGCTGGCATTGGTGACATGGGGGAAGTTTCTGGCAGCTTCTAACAGAAGCCACCCCTGTAGCCCCCCATGCTACCAAAACCTGGCCACAGAAAGCCAGTGCTGCAGGCATGGTGCCCCTTTGGGACACATCACCCTTCCAGCACTGGCAGCAGGTCATGGACAAGCCTCAGTTGCCTCCTCTCACAGCCAGACAAGTGAGCTGTGTCCCAGCCACCCTCTGGCACAGGGTCCAACTGCACTGCTGGTGGAAGCCCAGAACAAATCACAGGCATGTTCCAAGCCCAGCTGCTGCTCTGGCCATCGCTTTTTTAAGTGATCCAGGTACCAGGCCAAGGGGACTGCACGAGTAAGCCTGAGTCTGAGCATGAGCTGAAGCACTTGGTTTGTGGGCTTTTCTGATTTAGCCAAAATCAGTTCATTTCAAAGCAAAGCTTTGGGGAACACTCAGAAATTGGGCAGCAGATGTACATAGGGAAGGGCTGTGTGAGGCTGTGATGCTCCTCGTCTTCCTTCTGCTCTCACTTGTCCTACAGGCCACCCACCACCCTCTGCCAGCCAGACCTCGGGAAGACCCAGTGATCTGACCAGCACAGGTGATCTTAAACTACTGCTGTGACAGAGCAGCCCTTGCTGGCTTTGCCTGAAGTGCACCAGCTTTTCCCAGTGCTGACAGGACAGTGACCACCCCCAGAGCACCAGCTGGATCCAGGGCAGGAACTCATCCCCATGTGGCTGCAGCAGCACAGCCAGGCCTGTGCCACAGCCCCACTGCAGTGGGAACCAGCACCAGTCTGGAGCACCAACAGACCAACCCTGCGGCTCCTTGGAGCATGGATGAGGAACAAGAGAATCCTCCAGTCCAGACATAAAAATGTCCCCATCAGGTCAGCCCAAGAGTCCAACTAACCCCATCTCCAGCAGCAGAGACCATGCAGGGGAGGATGCCTGTGTGGTCACGTCCCACAGCCCACCTGCAGCACTCCCAGCTGCTGGAAGAGGGACACGAGTAGAATATCTTAGCTCCAACTGCCCAAAAACTTCTCTCATACCTTTATGACCCTGTAAGGCTCCTGAAGATCCTATGTACAGCAGTATTTTCTTTCATCTGTTTAAACCCAGTCTCTTCCAAGCTTCACTGAGTGTCCCTTAGTAGCTGTCTGAGAGTTAAGAACAACAGAACCAGCCCACGGCATGGTTTCCAAGTGCTTGCTTCATGCTGATTCCAAAATCTTATTCATGGACACTGACATCCAGGCTGAAATATGCAGCTTCAGGCAGATGTAATCATGCTTCAGAAATTCACAAAAAAATCCAGTGCACAAAAAGAACAACCATGGAGATTTTATTTATTACTATTAGAACAGAGAAGAGGCTACTTTACTGATTGGTATTTACAAATCTGTTGGCAAAGAAAATAATATCCAGTGTCCTTTATTAGCCTATTTTACAGCCCTGGCAAGAAGCATTCATTTGTAATAGCAGCAAATGCCTATGGTTTGACTGACTGCTACAGCGAAGTGCAAGGAACAACGGGGGTCACCCACAGGGCCCGGCCCAGGGACAGGCTCTGCAGCCCCATGAGAAGGGCAAGGCCACACGGCCAGGGCAGGACAGACCTCGGGACAGTGGCACAGCTGGTAACCTCTGCTCATGTCTGCAGCTCTGGGGCAGAAGCTCCAGCCCTGGGGAACACACTGTCCAGCGCTGCAGGAGGGCCAGACAAGCCCCGCGGTGTCGGAGCGTGGGACCGGGGCGGGAAACACGCTGGCACATTTCGGGGGTGTGTTTGACAGAGCTAATCCTGACAAGGCAGCAGGATTTCCTGGCCCACAGGACCACAGAGGCATCTGGTGGATGGAGAGGAACCATGACCTTTGTTCAGCTGGGCACAAACTGAATTCCTGCTGTGGAGTTCATCCAAACTCATCCGAATACAGGCTCTGGGAACCCTCTCACACAGAGCCCCAGGCAAGCCAGCAGGCTTGGGGCACTCTGCATGTGGCACCTCTTGCCCACACTGGGTACCCATTCAGGCATCAGCCCTAAACCTCACTGTTGGCAGGGCTCGGCTCCCCACTGCAGTCTGGAGAGGATGATCCCAGGTCCCCACTGGAAAGGGAGAGGGATGCAGAAACACAAATGCAACCTTGGATACTCCTGGCAGCCTTAGCACTGCACCAGTAATCCCAAAACTCGGCTTTTTGTGGCAGACCAGCCTCCAGCAAGAAAAACACCTCAAAGGAAGAGTAACACTAGGATGCCACAGAATTAGGATCTGCTGTTTGGTAAGGAACATATAATAGCATCTGGAGGCTGCGGAGAGATCCATGTGCTGCCTCCAGAGGACAGTGTCTTTGCTGTGCCTCACCTCTGGTGGCACACAGAAAGCCACATGGGTTCAACAGCAGCTGTGAGAACGCTGAGCTGCTGCCTGACGCTACCTCCACTCAGGCTCCACCACATATCAGCTGCTCAACCTGCCTCTTTCCTTCCCCTTCCCTTCCCAACCCCTCTGCAATGCCTGTGGGAATTCAGTGGGAAGAGCACAAGTGCCACAGCTGACTACAGGCAGTACCAGCATTTCACAAGCACACAGCATTGCTGCTGCTCTCAGAGAACAGGAGCACTTCTGACTTTTGGGGTCTTCCCAGCTTTCTTCAGACCTGGGCTGAACCAGGAGGGGGACCAAACTGGTATTCAGTCCCCAGCAGAGCAGTCTGGGAAGGATGTGCTATCAGGAAGGGGTGCTGGAGCCACAGACGCTGCTCTGAGCGTGGGCTCTGATGCTCTCAGTAAAGCTGGTGTCAGCTCATGCTGTCCTTAGCAAAAAGGAGCTGCAAGGCTGCTGGGGTCACCCCTGCAGAGGATATGGCCCTTGTGAGGAGGATGCCACAGCGGTTGTTTACCTGTCAGGTGCATGGCCTTCTCTTTGTGCCCAGCCCTGTGGTGTGGGTGGGTGCTCAGCAGCAGCAGCTCAAAGACCTCCTCTCCCTGGGCTGCAGTGTGCTTCCACAGACCACGACAGCCCGAGGGACTTTTCTGCCTCAGCAAATCCCCTGCGCCTCCACAGCCCTCCAGCCGACAGTCTGCAGAGGTGAACCAGGCTGCCCCCATAGCAGGAGGATTATCCCCAGTGAGGCAGCATCTCCCTCAGGACCAGCTCATGCCACAGCACAGGAGTGATGTCCTCCTACCTGAAGCCAACTGTGCCTCCAGAAGGGAAATGGAGACTCTCGTTGCCCCGTGTAGCGGTCCCTCACAGATGTCACAGCCTTTTCACTGAGCAACCAGTCTTGTGGCTCCCAGGAGGAGGGTTGCCCCCCTCTGACACACACTGGAAGGCCAGGAACCGCTGACCCTGACCTGGCATGTCCAAGGACTTCCTGGTGCTGACAGAACTGAGCCTTCCAGGAACGTCCAGTCCTTGTGGTCGTATGCCGGGAGATGCTCAAGGGCTAACCCAGGGCGTGACAACAGCAAGGACAATGGAAGAAAACTACGTGGAGGGGAGAAGATTTAGGGTACCCAGCAACTCCCCAGAGCAATATGTGGACCAGGGGCCAGCGGCTCAGACCAGCCCTTTGATGAAGCTCGTGTCCAAGTGCACGATGAGCATGCGGAGGAAGGACATTTCCTTGCGCGTGTTCTCGAAGATGACGCGGGGGTCGTCGGACTGGCAGCGCAGGCAGTTGGGGGCCATCACCATGGCCAGGTTATTCACATCCATTTTTGTTCTGCCCACGTTTGACGGCTGAGCAAAGATCTGCAGAGAGCAAGAAGACATTCAGCTGGAACAAGAGAAAAGGGCAACAAAGTCCAAACAGGCACGCGAAGGAGCAAGGAGAGCAGAGATGGGGCCTGCCTTAAGGACAGTGCCCCAACAGCCACGCATGCCCAGGGGGAGAGCACTGTGCTCTGACACAGCTGACAGCCTCGGCAGGCAGGGAACGGGCCCCGGGCTCTACGGCATCAGGAGCAGGGTTTATTGCTCCCAAAAGGGACAAGGCCAGCAGGGCTCTCCCCCTGAAGCCCACCTTAAATACAGATAGGAGGTCCTAAAACCCTGCCAATGGCCCAGCACAGCTGCCCCAGACCCCTGGCCAGCAGGGCTGTGGGGGCTGCCTACCTGCAGGAAGTGGATGAGGTAACACAGCACCAGCCTGTTGAGCTCTGGTAAAAGCTGCACCACGGCCACGGCAGCGTCGGGGTTCTCGTAGTTGCTGATACACTCTTTGTAGAACTGCTGGGGAATCACAGGCTCCTCCAGCTCCCGATACCAGAGCTTGAGGAGAGAGGCTGGGCAGAAAGAAGGTGCATTAGAACAGCTCTGGTCACTTCCTCACCCCCTTTGGGGGCAAACTTGGCAGTGAGACAGAGAGCAGAGATGGGATTTTGTGCTTGTGATGCTTCACCTTATTTCAGTCTTGGCTCTGAAACATTCAGACAGCCAAACTAGCCAGTTATTGGGAAACATTGGCTTCTACCTGCCTGCTCCTCCAGGAAGCAGCTCTGGGGCTGCCTAAAGGAGAGGACAAGGAGACCTGAAGGACTCCCACTGCTCTGCCCAGCTTGCACAGCCTCACTGCACCAGAGCCAGAGGTTCTTCCCCATTCCCACTGTTTCCTCTATGGGCAGTGTTTGGAAAGGCAGTGAAAGGGCCCAACATGAAATCCCAGTCAGTACATCCAGCCTGTGTACACAGCCCCAAGCAGCAGCACACCCCCTGCTCCTGCCCCTGCCCCTCCACAGCCACGGCCATGCCAGAAGACTCCTGCCACACTGCTGTACCTGGGATGTTGGGGTCACTCAGACTGCTCGGGATCCTCCACTGATCCACCTGCAATTTCAATGCATTCACTTCATCTATGTCACCAGGTATCCTGCAAACAGAGACACAGCAAAGGTGATTTTGAGAGCGAGCTGGGCCATGTGCTCGGTGTGGCAGCTGCCCAGGTGTGGCTCCCAGGCTGCTCCTGAGGCCTTGGGGAGAAGGGACCAGGCACCAGCAGCAGCTACAGCAGCAGTTCCTCAGAGAGAAGGGGGTGCCTGCTTTTACACACAATCTTAAAGTCGGGGTAGAAGCAACACTTGTCTCCTTCCCACTAGGTCAGAATCAACTCTTGTTGTCCTCATGAGGGATTGCTGTCTGTTACCAGGCCTCTCTGCAGCATGTTCAGACCAAAGATGAGCAGCATCTCTGGCTAAATATACCAAGACATTAGAAATCCTTACAAGGCAAAGTTGAGCCTTTTGCTGCCTACCTTAAACCATGTTTAGCTACTGAAAAACTAATACAAATCTTAGATACAAATCAAAACCACACACAGAAAAACCCCAAACAAATACCAAACTCCAAGGAGAATGCCCCGTGTTCACCACACAGATTCTGTGTCTCTCTTGACTCCCCCTGTCTTGTGCAACACCAGGGCTGATGTGCTGCACTGGATGAGGTGCCCTGCTGGGACCCCAGAGCTCCTCCCTCCCCTGAGCCGGCCAACCACCACTGCTGCATCTGATGAGAACTCACTGCCTTGCCTTTGGGTGAGGTCTTCCCTCTGTTAACACATGCAAACAGGCTAATGCTACTTCAAGAGGTGATTCCTGAACTTGGGGAAGGTTGGATTTTGTCCAATCCACAGCAAAGTGCTGTTCTCAGGGAAGAGGAAGCACGTGGAGGTCAATCTTGATTCCTTGGCTTTGAGGACTGACGTGGGTGGCTCAAAAGTAACACAGTACCCCAGAAGCTCACCTGAAAATCCCCTCTGTCTGTTCCCCTCCCAGGGCCAGGACCTGCTGTGACAGCTGTGTCTGCACCCAGGGCAGCTTGTTCCCTGGGTACATGTCCTGCTGGCGCAGCATGATCTCCTCCAGGGAGCTGCCGAAGAGCGACGGGGTCAGGATGGCGTTCCTGGCGTGTGTGATCTCCTCCACCGTGGGTTTGCGGAGGCCCTGAGGACAGAGAAGAGCTCAGAGCAGCTGTGGCACAGCCAGACTCAGGGAATCAGGGTCCTAGAGACGGGGAGTAACCAGGACAGAGCAGAATGCCCACACATGTGGTCACCTCGCCAGCCTCCTGGCAGCATGGCTCTCGTTCTACAGCTTCCACTTCCTAACATCAAGAGTTGCTCTACTCATCAGGCCCAAGAGGAGCAGAGGAGACCACTTTGGAGAGTTCTGGGTGGTTCTGCAGGGATTCTGTTGCTGTGTTTCACAGAGTGAGGGGACTGCTCCACCTGGTCTGGGAGGCAGGATGGAGCCTGGCCTGCCTCTGGCCGCAGGGAGGTAGGAGAGGGCATCTGTGACCTGACGAGTGCCTGGCCAAGGGACAGCTGAAAAACAGTCCTTGGGAGAAGGGAATTCCAGGTATTTCCAACTCCAGCAAAAGCTTTGCTCTCAGAGTGCTAAAACTTTTTGAAAAGCAGGCGGTGGTACCTGTCCCTTCTGGCAGACACCAACACTTGAGAGGGGCTTTGAATCTCCGGTGGCAGCAGTTCGGAGGAGTGCAGAGCTGGCACAGGGGGCAGAGCTGGCACAGGGGGACAGAGCTGGCACAGGACAGGCACAGGGGGCAGAGCTGGCACAGGGGGACAGAGCTGGCACAGGGGGCAGGCTTCCCAGCACGATGGCCTTTGGCAGTGACCCTGCAGCCAAGAGGGAGGCACAACAGGGGGAAGTTCCCACCAAGCCCTCGGGGGAAGCAGTGGCCAGGGCTGCAGTTGTGTGCCCTGTGTGTCTGGAGGCTTCCTGTCCTGCCCCTGCCAGGACACCAGGAGCCTTCACCCCTCCCGAGATATTTCAGCTATTTGCTCGCTGTACACGAAGTCCAGATGGCAGGGAGGCCCCAGAGGGATTTGCAGAAATAAAAGATGACCAGATCTGGCTCAGGGACCTAGAACGGGCAGGCTGAGGCCACCTGCCAGCTTTCACAGCCACACAGAGAATCGTGCAGAGGGAAGGGAGGAGGATTTTCAGATAACACAGAGCACAGAGGCTCCCATTCAGACATCTCTGCTGTGTGACTGTTTGAACTGGGAATGAATAACTCTGCAGTAAACCAGCTGGAAGACCCAGCCCATGCAAGCTCTCAGTGGCAAAGGGAGAATCTTCCCTCACCTGAAGAAACCAAGTGATGGGCGTCCTTTGCACAGACAGTTCCTCTTACCCCGAAGATAAGTACGTGTTGGGTTTGTCTCTGTCCTCAAGGCCAGGGAGCACCCAGCCATGCAGCTGCCAGCATGGCAGGCACTGCCTGCCAGGAGGATGATGGGACCTGGGCACAGCCTTCTCCCAGATGTGCATGGGGAGATGCACCCTGAGCAAACCTCCCCCACTCGCTCTGTCTGCATCTCCCAGCACTGGGTCAGTGGTGACCTGAGCCCTGGAGTGAGTGCTCAGGGACCCGGGCAGCAGAGTGCCCCGGGCAGCCCCCAGGCCCTGCTCACCTTTTTGCCTCCAGTGACGGCCACTTTCTGGAGTTTCCGGTAGCAGTACTTGGCATAAGTGCTAATGGGCAGACCTGGAGGGAAAGAGGAACGAGTGGTCAGCCCACAGCACCATGTACCCACCACCCCAGAGCCCTCCAGAGAGCTCCAGCACAGCAGCTCAGACTGGCACAAGCAGCCCTCTCCATGTGTGGCAGGGCAGGGCTGCTGGAACCTCGCACTGAGCGCCCCGAAGCCTCCCAGCCCCATGGCAGGCAGGGTCAGTGCCAGCCGGGGTTTGGGTCTCCTTGGTCAAGGCTGGTAGCTCTGCCCCTCCCAGCCCCACTCCTGCAGATCTCCACCTCCCTCACAGGAGCCAGTCCTGACTCAGGGCACGGCTGCCCCTCAGTGTTCACAGCCTGGGCACACACACGCCTGAGTCCTGCCCGCTGGCACAGCCAGGGCAAGTGCCTCACAGACACAGGGCCAGGTAATTACATCCTCCCAGACCAAAGCCACAGAGCACACAGTCAGCCTTCTGCCAGGGGAGGTTATAAAGTGTTTTAAACCAATTGCTTATGATCCAAGAACTTCAGTTCCTTGGCTAGTGGGAGAGGAGCAGCAGAGAAAGCTGTGTGCGGCCAGAGAGGCAGCACCACTACCTAGAGTGACCTCAGGACACAGGGAGAGGTGTGGGGAGGTGGCAGGGTGTCAGCACCCCCAGGACATGCAGAAGGCTTCCTCATGTTCCTGCCTGCAGCCTCCTTGAACCCTTGTCCTGTGGGGCTCAGGGGTGCTCTGCGAGATGGGGAAAATGGGACACACCAGGGCCTGGGAACTGCACCTCCAAAGCTGCTGTCCTCCACAAGAGTGCCTGCTCTGGCTGTGCTTGGTTCAGTGAACTCTGAGGGCGAGCGCAGGCAGGATTCACAGAGCTAATCCCCCCGTGACACCAAGAGAAATGTTTGCAATGACAGAGTACTGATTGCTGGGAGAGTTTTTCCAAAACCATTGGCCTTTTGTTCTTGTTCAAGTAAAACCCAAACTGCTTTGCTGAAAGCAGTGAATAGATCTGCCCTATTTGATTCCCTGCCAGGCCCAAAGCTTGCAGCAGAGTTCAAAATACTCGTGGCTTTGAAAATCTACATTCTGGTCAGATGCTGCGTGTTTCAGATCAGCCTTTCACACACCCTAAGGCTTAGGTAAGCTGGTTGGGAACTTGGAGGTCCTCAAAACCCCTCAGTGCAGAAGGAGGACAAGCTCTTCCCAAGCAGAGCAACAATTCCCAAAGGTGAGAGATATATTGTCCCTCATTCTCCTCTCAGCCATCAGACAAGCCACAGTCCTTGGCTCCTCATGATGAAAGAAGCACCCCCTGCCTCCACCAATCTGCCTCACAGCTGGAGCAGCCTCTCCCCACTGCCGGAGCCATGCCAGAGGAGGTACAGCAGCACTCCCATCTCCCACAGGCAATGGGAAGGAAAGCCAGCTTTAAGAATTTCTCTCTCAGGAATATCTAAAGCAAAATATTCACTGTAAGCAAAAATCTTACTAATCCCAGGCATGATTTACACTGGGAATGTCTAAGGACTAAAGCAAACAATCCCAATGAGCTGCTCTGTGGTGCTTCACCATCCCAGGTTCCAGCTGCTGCTGTCAGATGTGAGACACACCCTGAAGCGAGGTGTCACCCTTTACAGAGGGGATGGGAAAAAGGCTGGACTCTGTCTCTGCATCCCAGCAATTATGCAGGAGGCAGCACATTCAAAACTAATAATAGGAAATGTTTTCTCACACTGTAATTAGACCATGAAACCCATAATCACCCCAAAAGCTTAACAAGGTGTGCAGAGGAACTGGTGTCTTGCAGAGCCTGATGCGTGGGCAGCAGACATGTTTGCTTGAAGCCTGTTTCATACTTTCCCAGGAAGCTCCCTGGTCCTGGGAACAGCCTAAAACATCCAGCATTTCTGCAGCGAGGCCTCCTGCTCAACGTGACGACTGAGCTGCAGCCTCTGACCCAAAGGGGCCTGTTGGGGCCACACGTGAGGCCAACCAAGTGTGAGGCAACTGAAAAACAGACTTGCTGCATGCACGAGAGGCTGGAGGAGACACTGCCCACAGAGCTGAATGGCCAAGAAAGCAGCAGAGCCCTGAGGAACAGGGTGAGCAGCACTGGCCCTGGTGAGCACAGAGGCCATGAGGCCTCCCTGCCCCGGCTCAGCGTTCCCGGCTCCGGGGCACGTGCAGGGTGGGATGGACAGCAGAGACGTGGAGAGGCCAGGAGGCACACAGTGAGCTGCTGACAGGAACATGTGGGAGAGGAGCAGAACTTAGCCTCAGCTTTTCCAAACCAGCAACCTGCCCCAACCATCTGGTGCTTTTGGAACGCTCAGCCAGTGCCCAGCTCCTGGCACTGAGCTCTTCGCACACGGCCTGGTGTCCCAACACATGGGGCAGGAACCCCCCAACGTCCCAGCTCATGCCCCGTGGTGCAGGGCCAGGCAGCTTTGTCTGCACCACTTGGAAGGGGCTAATCCTGAAGGCAATTCCACTTCTGTGAGCACATCATGAATCTGAGAAATCAAAGATGGTCTGTTATTTCGTGTGGTACCACAGTAGCCTCAGGAGCTCAGGAACAGAAAACTACTAACAGCCCACACAGTGAAAAACAGTTTTCAAGGGAAAATATTTTTCCGTGTGCCAGCCTAAAAACACATGTGAAGAGCATCTTAAAGAATCTCTCCTCTTACAACAAGTTAAAATCCCAACACATGCAGGAACATACCTTCTGCAACAGACTAGAATGCTTTCCTGCCAAAAAATGTCTTAAAAATGCATCAAATAGGACCTGCCTATGGGACATGTATTTTAGCACAGGAAGAAGTTGTTGTCTGGATATTTTTCTGATCTATCACGGCCTCTTGGACCTCAGCCAGAGGCAGGGTCTGAGACCAGGATCCTGTCTTACTGTGCTCTTTAGCACAGGGGGAGGTGCCCCCAAGCAGCTCAGCTGGGCTTGGCACCAGCAGTGCTGCTCTCCTGGCTGAGATCTGCCCAGGCACCCCCATTTTACAGCACTGTTTTAGCTGCTTTTCCTCACACCACCAAGTGCCTCCTTCTGCATCCCAGCAATGCTCCTCCATCACCATTCCTTACGTGGGAAATGCCATATTCAGCAGCCCAAAGGGCCGGATGAGCCAGCAGCCTGCACCTGTCACCAGGATAAAAAACAGATACAGGATGTCTGAAAAATGAGTCTTCCCCTTCCAAAGTCTCCTGGCTAACAGCAGGTGGGCAATACCCTGAGGCAATGCTGCATCTGAACCATTAACCAGCAGCAGACAGACTTCCCTTCTTAGAATTTGTCCCATTTCTTCCTAAGCCTCTTTATGCTCCCAACCTGCACCACCCCCTGCTTTGCTGACCCTTCACGATTTCATTCTGTGCTTCAGGACAGTGTGCTCTGGACCCTGCTGCCCAACACCAAAACCAGGCAGCCTCCAGCTCTGCTGCTTCCAAAAACAGTGAGAAATTTTCTTCTTGCTTTCCCCAGGTGACCTAAAGTTTCTTTCAGCCCATCGACCTTCTCCCCTCTTCCCTCCTCCAGGTGACACCTCCTGTGTCACCTCCTGCCACACTCACGAGTCTCAGAGGGACCCTGGGCAGCAGATGCAGGGTGGGCACAGCACAACACAGTTGAGGGCTGCTTTGTTCTCTGTCCTTTTCCTACAAGATCCTCTGTTTGGTCTCTGACCTCTTCCCAGCACTGTGCATGTGTTTCTGGAAATTCATATATGAGCTGCAAAATGTCCTTCCCTCCTCTGAAGGGCTCCAGCGGGGCCTGCTGCTGCACGTGCACTCAGAGACCTCTGCCCCACGTAAAACCCTGCTTCTGGGGACACAGTTTTCTCTGCTGCTTGATGGCTCTGTTACTCACCCTCACCAGATCCCTCTGCACCTTTCACTTCTACAGTCCTGAATAATTTTGTATCAACACTGAGTTGCCAGCTCATGATTCGTCTCCTTGTATAAACCCAAAGCCCAGCTTACATTCCTGCAGGATCAGCAGACAATCCTCCTTCTGAAAACACAGCATTTATTTCTACCTGTTATTCTTCTGCCTTTCAATGGGTTATTGATGCATAAAAAGATCTCACACTACCTTCATATTTCATTTACTCGCAGAAAATTACACTAGAAGATGAAGATTGCAGTGGTAAGTGTGGGAAACTTCAAAATTCTTTCTTTGGGTGTATGTCAGATGGTAAATGTTTACTCACCTAAGTGTTTATAAGCCTCTGCACTGAAGGGAGTGTGTGTGTGTGTGTGTGAAATCACTGCTTCGACTCCATTTTTCACTGAAAGATTTACATAGATGCCTGCTTATCTACTACTCAGTTCTGACTGAAGACAGTACATTTCATTTCCTTATGGATTTCTCTGCTAAATTGCTGCTACATCATCCATAAGCATCTTCACATTTCAGAGCCACTAATGAGCTTCTCACAGCAGCCTTGCAGCTTCAGGGATCCCACCACCCCTCACACGTCTGGCAAATGGGGCTGGTGGAACAGAACCAGGTGTTCCAGGGAACAGCCTGACCTTTCCAGTCAGCAGCAGACAGAACCTGGTGTGGTCCTGCAGGATTCCCCCTTACTTCAGGTGCAACTCTGAGGTCAGGCCCCAGAAAAAGTCCTCAGAGTTCTCAGTCACCTGTGAAAAAGCTGGTTTGAGTGAGCTGCCAGCCCTGCTGCCTCCTCTGCTGAGCCCCTGCAGAGCAGCTCATCCATCCCAGCCACTGCCAGAGCAGCCTCCTGAGCCAGAGAGCACCCAGGGCCCAGGGAAGGGCAGGAGGGAACAGCCTCAAGCTGTGCAGGGGGAGATTCAGACTGGACATAAGGGAAAACTTCTTCACTGCAAGGGTAATGAGGCACTGGCACAGGCTGCCCAGGGCAGGGGTACAATCTCCACCCCTGGAAGTGTTAAAAAACCACGTGGATGTGGCACTTGGGGACATGGTTAGTGGTGGCCTTGGCAGTGCTGGGGGAACAGTTGGACTCAATGACCTTAGAGGGCTTTTCCAACCTTAATGAATCTGTGATTCCATGAAAGGGAACAGTGTGTGTGACCTGTCACCAGAGCCCAGCTGAGCCCACACACGCACGGCTGACTCTCAAGTGCTTCATTCTGGAAACTTTATGAAGTTATCCTAGCATGCCTTTTGCATAATGTTTCATATACTTATATATATTTATAAATATATATGATAGAAGCAAAACAGAATATCCTGAGTTGGAAGAGACCCACAAAGATCATCGAGTTCAAATGCTGGTGTTCTATTTTTTTATTTTAAATTTATTGTTTGTTCTTAGGTAAAAAATACCCCTATCTTCCTAAGCACACCTCCAGCACATGCAATATAGACATATAATTGCACAGAACAGCCTGCTCAGCCCACAGGCAGCACATCCTGCACAGAGCAATCTCCATGGAGTTCTCCCATAAAGATGCCTAAGTCCCTCTGAGCACAAGAAAAATGAATTTTCAAAGGCTCAGAACGGGCTGAACTCTCCTGGGCATGAACAGGAAAGGAAAAACACATATTCCTACCAGAAATATAACACTTCTGTGCAATTTCAGGTCTCTGCTCCAAATCCCAGCAGAGACAGAGAAACAATGAACCCTCTGAAGTGCAGGGGCTCCAACCCAGGGCCCTCCCCAGCCACCTCCCTTGCAGCTGCCTCGTGACACAGGGTGACACAGCAGTGACACAGGGAAGCCACCAAAGGGAGCACAGCTGCCTGCTGGTGTCAGGTAGGGCTCAGGAATGCAGGAGCTGGACTCCAGCTCTCACAGATTACAAACACCAACGCCACTTGATAGAAACTGCTGCCTGATAGGAATTCGCAGGGCTGACTCAAGTTTCCTGAAAGCAATACAGAAAAATACTGAATGGACTTTTTGTTCAGTAAGACTTTAGCCAGATAAAGTGTCATCCTGCAATCAGCAGTTGAACTGAGTTTGGAGGAATGTGTGAGCTCTTGTTCTCTCAGCAGAGACTCCAGTGCAGGCCCTGGGCTGTCAGAGCTCAGAAAGGGAAGCCAATACTGAAGAGAAGGTTGTGTCCTTCCCCAGGTACACCATCCTCCCCGAAGGACCTCAGGTTAGGCAGTGGTTTACAGAATCCATTTACATGACTAAGACAGGATCTTCTCAACACACTGGCTCATGTGGCTTTTAGCACTGGAACATGCTATAGAAACTCCATGGCATTCACAAAACAGGTGAACTACAGACCCAGGTCTGCATCCAAATTAAAATCCCTTTTCTCACACTAGTTTGACTGAAAGGCCCCCCATGTGTCCCACATGCAGCCCAGCTGCCACCCACACTGCTGATCCATGCTCTGGTCAAAGCTCACGGACCAGCCGCACACCAGGGAATTTTTCCCAAGTCTGTGCACTTAAAAAAATAGACTGATTTTCAGCAGAGCTCAGAATCCCTGCCTGCCTGAGATCAGTGCAGACCCCCCTCTTGGCTCCCTGTGCCCCCCCTTACCTTCATCCTCTGTGTTTTGTTTCCTCTTTTTCCTGGATTTCGAGTTCTTCTTGTTTTTCAGATCCACAAGCTCCTTGATGCGCTGGGCAACTGAAGAATCAAAAGAGGATCTGGATTAATAATGTGATATATTAAAATACCAAAGCCTGGAAGTGCCCCTGGCTGTGGCAGCCAGCCTGACTCCAGAATGAGAGGAGTCTGGGGAAAGGTCCTGCAGCACAGCCAGCTCCCAGTGCACCCGAGTGAGGGGCCCAGAACATCACTCAGCTTCTCCAAATGGCCAAACAGTTGAGAAGCCTAAATAAACTTGCTGCCTAAATACCAGCAGAAGGAACAATCTGCTCAGACAGCTCAGAGTGCTCCTCCTTGCTGCCTGCACTCCAGGCCAAGCACAGCTGGAGGGAATGGTTTGGGGAGAAGTGACAAGGGCAGAGGATCCTCATAAAACCCAAACTAGTGCTGCACACCTGACAGTTCAGTGAAGGAATCCCACATTAAGGCTACAAGCACAAAACCAGGAGGCAAGGGTTGACGTTTCAGCACTGCTTGCCCCGGTCCCACCTCTGCTGCGGTGCTGGGGCAGAGCTGCACCCACCCCACACACCTGGGGGGCTTCAAACACAGGGAGAAGCCCTCACATACCAAAGGGAAATATGTGCTCTGGTTTCTGACCTGAGACTGGACAGGACATGGTGAGCGCTGTTGTTGTTTTTCCTCCACATTAAAATTGGGGAATACCTGCTGGGCTGGTCCCCAGACTTTTGAAAGACAGAGAAATTGCATTGAAAGCCTGCATTCTTCAGGGTCCCTGACTGTGCCAAGCCAAGGCCTGTTCCCAGTGTTGGCAATGTCTCCCTTCAAAAGTTAGGTATTAACAATCATCCCTTTTTTTTTTTTTCAGCTTTAAGGAACTTAGAAGTAAAGTCTTCAGACTGTACTTTTTTACTACTCATTTACTGACTTAGAAATAAATGTCTTCAGAGAACCCAAAGAAACTCTGCCATTGGTGGGTCAAAATCAGCTCATTTCAGTGCTGATGGATGAGGTGAGCACGCTCTGGGCCTGCCTTTTCTTTGTCAGACACAAGTGAGAACTGGAAGGGGATGAGCTGGTGGCAGCTTCATCCCACTAAGGAAGGAAGAACTCACCCAATACATTGTGCTTTCACTGACAGAGCCCACAGCACTGGCTGGGGACTACCTGTACTTTTAAAACCCGGAGTGGAACAACCTACCAGGATGCTGCTGGGTACAGAGGAGGTGCATGAAGCACTTACTGTTTTCATCACTGTCAAGGTGGCGATAAATGTAACCTTCCAGGTAAGACTGAAATTTGGGTGACGGGGAGAAAAAGGCCAGGCTGATGGCCATCAGTTCCCAGCCCCACGCCAGGCTCCGGTAGCACATGTTGTCTGTGGTCTGCCGGATCAGCTGTATGTAGAGCTCGTCCCGCAGCCCCTGCATGCTCCAGCACTTGGTGACCGTCACCAAGGCCACGTGGTTGCGGTCCAGGCGAGTCTGGCGGTCTCCCATGTAGCTCTGCACCAGCTTGAACATCTCACACGCCTCTTTTTTGATGGTGCGGTTGCTGGTGATGAGCATGGGCTTTTTGATGGAGCCGCCGTTCCAGGACAGCATGTTGGAGATGGAGATCCTGCGGCGGAAGATGCCCTGCGTGTGCATGTTCAGGTTTTTGGAGGCCCAGTCTGCCATGCTGCTCTGGGAGATGGGCTTCCGTAGGGTGTTGTAGGGGAAGTGGCATCCCACGCAGCCCCCGCGCTGGCCACTGCCCTCCTGCTTGGGGTCCAGCTCTATGGTCCCAGGCTGTGAAGAACAGAAGTGTCAAAAGCAGCTTAGGTGACTCCTTACCCTGCTAGGAAAATTACCCATGGTGAGTCATGAAGCTACCAGGAACTGCACAGTGCTGAGTCTGTGCAAACATGACTTGGTGCAGAATCTGTGGCTGACACCTATAGTTCTGCAAGAGCCTGGCTGGCACAGCCACACACTGCTGCAGTCCCAAAGGGAAGTGCTGGGACATGGAGCAACAGGGCTGAGTGTCCAAGCTGTCCCAGAGCTCATGGGGACAACAGCCCAGGCAGGAGCTGGGCCAACTCCCACAGCAACCAAGCACTGGGGAGCCAAGCATCTCCCCACTCCTCACCTCTCAGTTCCTGTGGAGCTCCAGGAGGCAGGCGAGGACACCAGGAGGTAGCAGAGACTATAGACCAGCCACAGCAATACGAGCAGTTTCCTTCTCAGCCTTACCCATACCTGGTTCCTACCTTCACTGTTTTTCCAAGTTCTAGCAAAAAAACCCCAACCAAACAAAACCAAATCAACACAGCCAGCAACCCTCCGGAGCTGCCTGTGCCTGGACAGTCTCTGCACTAGAGGTGTTGAAATCACATATCTCAATTACACCATGACCTTCCTACTGGAAAGACTAATGAGACACACAAACAGGACAGGAGCAGCTCAGAGGCACACAGGAGAATGGGCACGGGTATTTTGATGGCAAGGCTGTCACCCAGGTAGGATAGATCATGTTTGAGTTGGTGAAGTGAGGAGATCAGGTACCTGTGAGTCAGCTGCCATCTCCAGTGCGGCCAGATCCCACAGACCCACCAGGGCCTCCTGCCAAACCGGCCCAGCTCCTCAGCAGCTACAGGGAAGGCACCAGCTGTGGCTACAGGCCAGGGCTTCTGCAAGTCCTGCTGCACAGGACTCAGGGACACCTCTGCAACACGCTCCCCATTGGCACAACCTTCCCCAAATTAAATCAGAATTGCTCACAGTACTGAGTTCTCAGAGAAGTTCTCTGCTCAGAGAAGTGGGGACAGCTGCTCCCACCCACAGCCTGCAGTGATCAAACTCATCTGCTCCAGGGACAAGTCCACTGATCACAGGTTCACAGAGATCAGCAGCACAGATAGAGACCTTCCTTCCTCCCAGACTCTGTCTGTACTTTTTACATGTAGGCCATCCTTGTTTCCCAGCAATCACTACAGATAACTACATCATTAGAGCTTTGGTAGTACTGGTCCCAAGAAAACATGAGTAATGATTACTTGAGAGAAAAGATACTTCTTTTGCCCATCCAGAATTCTTAGTTTTGAATGAAAGTGGCAGCCTGGGACACATATTGAACCCAAGCCCCCCCAAAATTGTTTTAGGAAATGGACTTTTTTGTTAGACTTGAAATTCCCACATGGAGCAGCCAAGAGCTAAAGAGCCCACATTTCACTCTGTGTTCTCCAAGGAGATGGCTAGCAAGCAGAAAAAGCCAAACAAGATAATCTAGAGCTTTTTGCTTTTTAAAGGAAGACAAAAAACACATGCAGTAAATTTTGGGTTTGAAGTGGAAATAGTGAAATCAAACATGTATTTCCCTTCTTTGCAGACCACCTTTAACTTGCATGCCACACTCTGCTCTGGTCATGGTCTACAGTCAACCCCAAACCACACAGTAGTTCTTGGAAGTTTAGGGCAAGTCCGTATTTTCTTCTTCGTATAGAGGAACTGCTGAACTCATGAAAGAGGCTCATGCAGTCCAACCTTTCCCTATCTTACACCCAACATGTCCCTACACGTGGATGATGGGATTAGCACACATCACATTCCACCTCTTATTGCCAGCTGGGGGCACAATCAATTCTCCTCTTTTTCTACATTGTGCTTTGTATCCTTTGAGTTACTCCTCTACTTCCTCACCCTCCCTGAATTCACTCAACGCACTGACTAAAAATCCCTGCCTGCAGTTCTCTGCCATCTCCACATCCTCAGTCTCCTTCAATTCACCTTCCCTGCCCAGGGTTGGTTTTCCTCCTATCACCTTACCTGCTCCTTCAGCATCTTTCTTCTGAGGAGCCACCTCCTCATACTCTCTCAAGGTTCAGCAGGCTCCGGGTTCTCTGCTCTCTCTGAAGTTTATCTCTCACATCTCATTCACACAGCTCCCCAGCTGTTATCTTTGTACTGACAGCACACAGCCACCTGTGCTCAGCCTGTCTCAGAACCTCTGCCCACATTCCTCAGATAATGAGAGTCCTCGTCTCCTCCTCGTTCTCCTGTCTCACAGGCGCAGCACAGGCCATCACTGATGACTCAAGCCACTCACTGCCATTTTCAGCTAAGGCAACGATTTTGCTGCCATGTTCTCTGCAACTTCCTCCTCTCCTTACTTGGACTCTTACATTTCTGAGTACTTCTGTGAATATTTCTTTATTTACTGACTCTTTGCCTTTACCACAACATTCATCTCCTTACATCTTCCACTGTATTCTCCTTCCCCATATTATGACACATGAACTATTCTTCTTCATTTTCAAGGCCAACAGCCTATCCCCAAACCACCATCTCTTGTGGATAATCAAGACATCAAGTCTCAGCTCTCCCTGTCAATGCAATGAGGTGTAACACAGCTGGAAGACCAGAGAGCAGTTTTCCACCAAGTCTAAAGAGGCTGTGAAATGAAATTCCTGAACTATTAACAGTAGATTGTATAAACTTGATCTGGCTCTGTGCCTGAAAAATGGGAAATGCAGGAACATGACATCAGTTTTCCAAGAGATTTCAGGTGACAGCAAGGTACTTGGCAAACTAAATTCTGCAGAAGTGCTGTGTAATAGAGAAAAACTACTCGCCTTGTGCAGGCACACTAATGGGCTTTAAAATAATTAACACTGGTTTTCTAAATGTTTCCATTTGATGCTCGGGAATTGGGAGGGAGAAGAGCATATGAGGAACCATCAGAAAAAGAAGAGAGAAAGAGGAATTGCTGCCTCATGGCCATGTAAATCCTGACGCCCGTGTCCTGCACCCCACTGACTCAGATCATCCCAGCAAAGGAAGGACATATGAGGGGTAAGGGCTCCCAACAAAGACACAAGTGACAGTAAATTGATGGGGCAGCAGATTTACCCAAACAACAGAGCAGTGCTGAGGTCATGCTGGGCATGAGCCCTTAGTCCCCGCAACTCCTCCTCCTCTCGCACCACTGGCCTGAAATGAGGTCTCCACCAGCAAAGCTGTGAAACTTTGTGACCTGTTTCCTATTTTGCAGGCCCAGACGTGTTTTGAACCAACCCCCCCTTGGGAGCAGTTCTGCACCACGACAGTCCAGCCAAGGCCCCCCATTCCCCGCCGCGCGGTACCTGTGAGGAGAGGCGTGTGGCATCCGATGAAGCTAAGCTTGTCTGGCTGGTCACGTTCTTTTCTAAAGAATCTATTTTCTCAAAAGTCCTCTTCTGCCTCATTGTGTCCTGCAGAGCAGCTGCATCACTGGGAAAGCCCTCCCTCATCTCCAGGCCCTGCCTGTACAGAGACCTGTTGCTGGCCGAGACGTCGTCCCTGGAGCTCCGGCTGATGCATTTTTTCAAGTGGTCAGACTGAAACCTGACCTTGCTGCTCTCTGCTGGGACACCACCCTCCAGGCTCTCAGCATCCAGGCTGGCTTTGCTTCCCCTGCAAGCTGCTGACCTGCCCACCACTGCGCGCATCTCAGCGATCACCTTATCGTTCAGAGCTGTGAGCTCACTGCTGCTGCCCACAGAGCCAGGTCTTACTTGACCTGTTCCTTGCCTCCTTCCTTTCCTTTTTCTCAAGCTTGGAGAAGGGCCGGTTGAATAACCAGAATCCTGGTGGCTTATACCAGCTGGGTACTCCTGAGTCTGCAGGCTGTTCTGACGACTGTGGTGGAGTTCCATGTTCTTGAGGACGTTGGCTTCCAAGATCCTCCAAGACTGCTTGAAACTGTCCTTTGAAGCAAGCTGACCAGGCAGTTTAGTGGAAGCATCAGCTGTTGCAGGAGAAGAGTGGGAGAGTTTGGCAGATTGGTCAACATTGACCATATGTTTTATGTATTCCCTGCCAGCTGGGCTGTATTCAGTGGAAGAGGGATTTCTTGCATGCTTCTTTGCAGCTTGTTGTTGTTGCATACCGGGATGCTGCAATAATTTGGTCGGTTGCAGCTGCTTTTTTAAGCTATTGCTTGGTGACCTGGGTGGAGACATGCCACTCACAGCAACGCTTTCTGTGTCCATATCGACTGGTGGCTCATCGTAAATTGGTGACTCTAGCGATGGCTCATCGTATATGGGTGCAGGGGAGGCATACTTGGGGGATGCAGGCTGGGGGGTTCCTGTCCGGCTCCTGGGAGGTGTTTGAGAAGTTGGGCCATTCATCAGCACCAGGCAAAACCCACCGTTCTCCGTCTTTTTGATCTGCATAGACTGCTTTGTGTCTCCTGTTTGCTTCGTCGCTCCAGGGCTCTGGGACCTGGGTTGAGGCTGAGCATATATAGCTGGTTTTGGAAGAGATTTTGGGCTGTTGGGCTCTGGAGCGCTCTGCAGCTGAAGTGAACTGCTTGAAAAGCTCTGTATCTGCCTCAAACTGTTCACTTTGACCAACATGGCTGCTTTTGTGCCTGGCAGAGGCTGCCACTGGGTAGGAGTCTCCCTAAAAAAAGAAAGATACAAATACAAGCGATTACTGAAGGATGGTATTAACTGGAGTACCCTCTACATCTACACAAATACCATATAGTTCCTCTCAAAGTGCCTGAAGATTCCCCAACCAGTTACATCAGCATGTTATTTTTTCCTGGAGATCCCCCTTCCTGAAACAGAACATCATTGTTGTTACACACATGATAAATTTCTGAGTCGTGAACAGCAGAAGGAGGTGAAATGAGTTCATGATATTATAACCTGTCTGGTATCAGCAGCACTGAGATAGGACACAACCTACACTTTTAAACTCAGCCACCAGCATGGCACCCAGAACAACCAGCTGGAGATTAGCAACTTCTTCTGGACCACTCAAGCATTAAATTGGAAAGTAATCCCAAGTATCTGTCTTTGGATTATCCAATAATGATGACAGTCCTTCCAGACCACGCTATTTTGTTGATTTAAGTTTCCAAATGCATGTTTATTTTGCAGAAAAACCTGTGAGGTCTATGGGAAGTGAATGGGGGCAGCCATCCTCAGCTCATAGGACGTGTTACAGCCCCACACAACATGACAAGCCTCCTCCCAATCCTGATGCACTAGATCTGGTTCCCTTGGCCAAACCAACTGGCCCTGCTCAGCTCTCATGGCTGTGAAACCCTCCTCTGACCCATGGTGGTACTCAGGATCACAACCCAACGTGCCCACTGCAACACCCCAGTTCCAAGGGCACTTTCTGCAGCAGAACAACAACGTGCTGTCAGGGCACAGCCGCAGCCAGTCTGTGTTTGTGAGCTCTGAGGAGAAGGGAAAAGCTGCTAAACCAGCCCGAGCTTCCAGGTTTTCCAAGGCACCATGGTCCCCAGGAAGGTCTCCTTGAACCTGACCCCGTTTCGTTCCCTACCTCCATGTATCTGCAACCAGCCATCACCGGGTAAGGCCTGAGGGCACACTGCATGTGTCCTGTCTGTGGCAGGAGATGTTCCCCTCACACCTTCACAGCCATTTTGCTCTGTTTGAACCTTGAGTTTGGTCCCCTCTCCACACTGTCCTCTGTGGGCCCTGTGCTGGCAGACAGACCCACCTCTGCTGCACATCCAGAGCTGCTTCCCGCCAATGTGAGCCCCTCCTGTGCCTGCCCTGCCAAGCCCCAAGGTACCCAGACACCCCAACCCTCTTGCCCCTTCCTCCTGCTCTCCATAGCCCTTTCACCTGGCTGGGTCCCAGCACAGCTTCCCTCAGATGCTGTTCCTTTTCTTCCCTCTGTGGCCATCCCACCAGTGCATCTGTGTGGGTGTCCTATTTCACCTGTTCCACCCCAGTTACTTGCCCCACATTGTCTACCCCACACCCAATGTCCCACATCTGCTCCCAATCATTGCCCTCTTAAGGGGGTGGTGTGCCCCTTCCCCATCCACTGCTTACTGTGTTTTTGGCAATCCATGCTCTCCGATGGCACTGTGTCACTGCAAATCCCGCCCTGGCACAGCGGCACCGGGAGAGGTGTGGGTGCGGCTGGCACTGCCCTGCCACGGGCGCAGTGCTGACCCCTGGCCAGGGTCCAAAGGCCTCACCACCCTCTGGCTGCACCTCCCCTTTGAAGGGCTGGCTCCCTTCCCACAGCAGAGCCCATACAGCTCTCTTGTGCAACTACCCAGGTAAGCAGAGAAGGCTGAGAAAGGGCTGCCACTCTCTGCTTCGCACCCTGAGGTCCCCCTTGCTCTGGGACCTCCTGAGCATCTCCCACTAAGGCACAAGGGTTTTATTCTAAAGGTGCTGACGGCAGGATGGGGTGGCATTCGTGAGGATATGCAGCCCCAAAACCCACCAGGCATCCCTCCCCGTGGGACACAGGGCCTGCTGCTCGCACCAGTGCGTCTGTCCTGTGTGTGGCCAAGCCCCAACCCCAAACACAAGCACTGCTGAAGACCTGGCTGTTCCTCGAAGAGCTCCTGGACTAACAGGAAGAACCAGAGCAGTCACACTTGGTAGGCTTTCAAGTGAGTATTTTTGACACCCCCACGGCTGAACCAGCAGCACAGAAGACAGACTGTCAAAGAGGAAGCAGGACAGAGCCACCCATGGGCTCCTGACTCAGCAGGCAGGCCAAGAGTGAGAGACTGGGAGGGACTGTAGCTCAGCCCTACAGCCAGAGCAGCACTGTGCCTGGAACAGCACTGTGCAGTTGTTGGGTGACAGGGTAGCAGGGCCGTAGCCCTGAGCTGCAGGTGTGTCCCCCTGCCTTGCAAGACTCCAGCTATGGCAGGGCTGGAAAACAAACCTGCACTCTGTGGGAAGGCTCTGGACCCCACATCCCACTTCCTGAGGTTTTTCCTCTCCCTGACTTGCAGCACTGCACGTCCAACCAGCTCTGAGCAGCTGAGACATCCATTTGGCCAAGGCTTGGCAGACCCACCCCTGGTATGGCCAGACCTGTCACCCTGTGCAGGCTCATCGTGTGCTGGTACTGCCTGGCACTGGCAGTGGCTGCTCCAGTGCCCACCAACCCCAGGTGACCCAGACAGCAGCACCTCTGCCCGAAGCTGTGCCACCTCCTCGCTCAGCTCTGAGCCACAGGGAGGAACCTCTCCCTGCCCGCACAGCAGGCACTGGCACCATCTCCTGTCCCAGTTCACACCCACACAGCAGCCCTGGCACACCCCAACCGTCCTCGTTCAGGTGTGGGGCTGGGCATCTGCACAGCACACCAGCCTGGCCACAAGAGACAGGCTCCTGCTCCAGCACGGCATTATGACTTTAGGGTCTCGTGGGATCCCAAATGGCAACAACCTCTGCCCCCGCTCTATGAAATAGAGCAAAGCCCAGATTTTAGCCCTCAGATGAGCGATGAGGGATTTGATCTGAAAAAGAAAAGGGGATGCTGTGCTCATGGCCTCCCACAGAGGCAAGCTGTCTACCTGTGACCCCGTGCCAGCCAAAGGGCAACAGGCACACCAAAGCATGACAGCTCCTCACTGCCCAGAGTCGCTTCATCAGGCTGGGAGGAAGTTGTCCCTTGCCTTGGGCCCAAGATGGTAGGACGTGGCCTCAGCACAGACTTGGCCACAAGGGTGGAAGGTGGTGGAGAGCGGCAGGAACTCTGCGCTGGCACAGGGTTGTCCCTGCAGCTGCCCCGAGCCCAGCGGGCAGGACAGCAAGACGAGCTGGACAGTCAGCCACAGCAGGTGGTGAGTAAGCAGTTCTGCCACAAGCAGCAAGATTTTGGCACTTGCAGTCCATGCCCCAACACGTTCCCTCCTTCAGGCCAAGGGCAAACTGCACACTGGGACCAAGCCTGCCCTGGAGCACTGCAGAGCCCTGGAGCCAGCAGAGCTCAGCACCCAGGGCACCCTCTGACACTGCCCTTCTCAAGGAACAGCACAAACACCTGGGACTGTGACAGCTCTTCTGTCATGGGCACTGGCAAGAGGCAAAGCACCCACGTGCCCCGTGCTGGGGCCAGGGGCCAGACATCAAGGGGGCTTGGCTCCAGGAGGGCTGTAGGACAACAGCCCTGGGACCTGTTGCAGCTCATGCAGGACGAGGGGCAAAGGTGCAGCCAGAGGCAAGGAACAGAAAGCAAGCAAGTCCACTGTGCCACCGCTCCTCCCTGGCTGCGATTCAAGATGTGAAGACCAATCCAGGCACCCAGTGGGTATTGGTACCTCCCCAGGGCACCTCAGTGCCCATTGTCTGCCCATTTTGACTTCAAGGAGAGGGTACTGCACCCAGGAGCTTTGCATTCAGGACTCAGACCACTTGTGCCACAGTAGTGTCCTTGCAGGGTTCTGCTGAGATATCCATGGAGGAGCATCGGAGTGGAGTCAGAGGAGACAGGGAAGCTGTGCCACTCGTGTGTCACCGAGGGCCACCACACTGACCAGGAGGTTTGTAAATAAATGTGACGGAAAAGGGAAACTTCTGCACATGTGCTGTACCCCACCTTGCCTGTCAGTCTCATCTCGGACACACTGTGCCATTTCCAGCCTCTTTGGCTGCCAGAGATGAGAGGAAAGAGGCACCATCACAGAGAGGACAAGACTTTTTTGAAGGAATCATTTCCACAGCCATGAACAATCTCTTGGGGCCATGTCTGGATACAGCTTCCTTCAACCCCATCCCCAGGCTGCTGAAAAGACAAAGCAGAGAACAGGGACTTCCTGACTTCCCAGCATGGAGAAAGGTTCAGCCTTGTCCTTCTGAACAGTGAAAGCCCTGACAGAAAGCAAAGCCAGTGGAGAAGTATCCCAACACAGTCTCTCAGCTGTGCTCTTCAGCCACCAGCAGCAGACCCTGAGAGTCCCCTGAGACTGTTCCCTGTGAGGAATGCTTTCAAGTAGCTCCAACATAAACACCCCAACCTGGCGCTGGTTTTCCCAGCCCGCACCCAGCTCCAGCAGGCCCAGCGTATCCGGCAGCTCTTCTCAGGTTCCAGAGCTCCATTGTTTGCTTTTTCCCTCCCAGAAGCCTGGAGAAAAGACCCCACACCTCAGCTCTGCCCTTTCTAGCAGTGGTTTTCCTGGTGCTGTGCCAGAGGTGAGTGGACAGGGATGTTGGGATTTCGGCGGCGCCCGTGGGGGGGCAGGGGTGTGACCCACCCAAACCCAGGCCTGCACCCTTCTGAGGACAGTGCTGCAGACATGTGCACAGCACAGTGTGTTTGCACACCCTACCCCAAGGCTGGTGGCACAAGAAGGAAACAAACCTGTATTAAGGATTCTGATAGTGTTTCTTGCCTGGTTATAAAGAACTTAATACTGGCACTACTTATGCTATGCCCCGAGAAACATGAGCCCATGGAAAGGCAAACCAGACTAAGAGGCAGAGGTACTGTCACAGCCGCCTTCTCGTCACACCCTTTTCCAACACATCTTCCTGGCACTGTAAGACCAAGCCCTCACTCCCTCCCAGCCCAGGATATTGAGCTGTTGGAAAGGTGGGCCAGGAAGGGATGAGCAGCACAACCTGCTGCCCACACAGAAGAGACCCTCACCTTCCTCTTCTGGGGGATAGGATGTTCCTAGGGAAGGCGGATTTTTATATGGAGGATTTTAAGTTGCACTGTTATCACAAGGAGAACCTCGGAAACAGCACTCTCAAACATGTCCTGATGCTGGGAGAACCAGAGGAAGAGAAGGAAAGGAGTTGGTCCACTTGGACAGCGGGATGGGACGGCAGAGCCCACTCACAGCCCTGACCAGCAGTGTGCCAAAATGCTGCAGACCAGCACACAGGCTCCCCTCCCAGCCAGACTGTCTTCTTCAGGACTTGGCCCTCTGCCATGCTCAGCCCTTTCTGTCCTGCTGCCTTGAGGAGTTCCAGCAAACCTCAGCACAGCTGCAGTGGCTCAGAGGACACTTCCAAAATGCTGCATTCAGCCCCAGGCTGGTCTCACGGTCCCCAAGGGAACATGTCCATCCTTTGCAGAGCTCTCCAGTGTGTGAAAGGATAATTTGGCTATCACCTTCCCTGAAGAGAGCCCATCTTCCTTCCTGCTAGGATTCCAAGAGCTCAGGAAGGGTCTGGAGCTGTGAGGCAAGTGCTGCCTGCTATCCTTGTCAGGCAAGGGAAAAAGGAGAGACAGTGCTGGGCTGGGCAGCTGAAAACCAACATGGGAACAAGAGCACAGGCAGAGGAGCTTCCCCAGGAGGCTTCAGGGATGGCCAAAGGTAGCAGTGACTCCCCCACGGCAGCAGCTGCCATTTCCCTGTGGGGGTGGGACTGACCCCTGTGTCACCTCGGGGAGTCAAAGGCCAATGTCTAGAGAAGGCAGCTTTGAGCTTTAGAGAGCTGGAAGAGCAGCAGCAAGTGGTGGGGCAGTGAGTGAGGGGTGGGATGGGCATGGAGACAGAGGGAATGGGCAGCAAGGTGTGAGCACAGAGTCCACCTGTCTGGGGAGCATCTCTGTTCTGCTTTAGCTGCTGAGAGCACACAGAGGGCTTGGCAGCACTGAGATGTGGCAGCGGGCACAGCAAATTCAGCAGTACTGATAGAAGGCTCAAGAGAGGAAAGGTGGTAAACAACAGTCTACTAAAATAAAAAACCTCAACCACAAAGTATTACCAAAAAAAGGACAAAATCCCTTCCCCCAGACCTCTGTGGCATGTGCTTGCAGGGGGCCCCTCTTGGGGACTACACTGGTCTCTTCCCTCTCCATCTATCACAAGATGACAAACATGAAGGAAAGAAAAACAGCATCTTTTGTGCTGGCATTAAGAGACAAAAGCGAAACCGTCTGGGGTGCAGGTACCTATAAAGATGTCAAATGCTACCAACAGCACTCAACGTGCTCACCCTGTGTTTATGCAGCTGCATCCCTCCGAGGGGAGGAAGAGGACATGCTTGAGTTTGTCTTTGGAGAGCAACACAGACAACAGAACTAAGAGGCTCAGTGTGCTTATGCTGTCAGTACACCAGATATCCCAGCAAGGGCATTAGATCCCCTGGGAGCACTTGCTTGTGGCTCAGCTTTTGCTCCCCCTTTAATGAGCTTGCAAAAGGCAAGAAATCTCTCCTCGAGTGTCAGACTTGGGTAACCAGATATGCAGCCTCTGCTCACACAGCAGAGATGACACCGGATAGATGTGCACGGAAACAAGCACAGCCTCCTGCTTCCAAGAAAGTAGCTTCCACAAACACTCACTGGGGTGGGAATCTGGAAGAGCCTTGCATGTCCAAGCAGCCTGTCAGCTCCCAAGAGAGCTGCCACTCGTGCCTTTCCCAGTACTTGCCTTTAGAGTTCGTTTCAGGCTCAAAGTGCCCCAGGGTTGCTGCAGAAACCTGAGCTAAGGATGGAGTAAGGGAGGACTCCTTCCCACTCCCCTTCCTTGCAGGAGAACCAGTGGTGATGGTGACACTGCCTGGCTGGCAAGGAAAGGTAAAACAAACCCCTGCTCATATTGCATCACCCCTGTCCTCCTATATGAGGGGACATGTGTGGGGTCTTCCCTGCTGAGAGGGCTGGAGAGCTGAGAGGTGGGTCACAGCTGGTATCTCTTCTCCCTTGAGGCAAAGCAACTCCCCATACTAAGGCAGAGGCGGTCACATTCCCTCCTGAGAGAATGAGTCAGGAATACTTTGGACTCTGTGGAGCTCAGGATATCTTACACCCTATCAGGACTCTTGCACTGACTCCCCTGGAAATATGTAGTTTTGGCAGTGCCTGTCCTGGCTGCCCCAGAGTGCCAGGCTGCAGAGGGACAAGGAAGGGAAGCCAGTTGCCTCATGGCAAATCCCATGTGCCTGTGACTCACCTGTGGACACTGGGAGTGACCTGAGGGACCTGGGAGCTACTCAGGTTCAGCTTAAGGCATTTTTTACTGGACTCCTGGTAGGGTAGGAATCATCTCTGGATGACTCTCAAGCTCAGAGAGGCAGGAGGCATTGGGAGCATTAGAGGCACCAGTAAAGCTCTGGGCTCTTTCTGGTGCACTTTATGTGCATCACCAGTGTCTCCCAGCCACTAAGATCAGCACTGGATACAGGAGTGTTTTACAAGGAGCAGAAGACAAGTGATAAACCTCACTTCAGGGTGCATAAACTTTCCAGAACTGCCATCCTAAGTGGTTTTCATCATCTTGGCTTTTTTCTTCTCTCCTTGCCTGCACCAGGCACACAGAGAGGCAGCTTCGACCCCAAAACCAAGCTGCTAAAGCAGCCTCGCCTGCTGCACCGCCCAGAACCAGGACAAGGCACCATGGCACAGATGGCAGGACAGTCAGGCTCACTCTGGCACTGCTCTCACCCTTGGATGAGTCACTTTTGAGCATGACCCAACTTTGCTTGCTGCACGGCCTCCCCAGTACCACATTCTCCAGGGCAGGATGATGCCCAGGGCAGGAGGGAGGCAGGGCAGCCCCAGACAGTGTCCCAGGTGGAGGGACTACCCTGACAGAGACTGGGGAGCCGATGCTTTTGTGCACCTGAAGCTGGCATGGTTTCAATACAATAAAAAAGCCCCGATTGCTGTCAGACTAATTTGAGTGTAAAAAAATCTCTTAGCTAAACAAAATAGCACCCGTTATTGTTCTTTCATTTCAGGCTTGGTGTGACCAAATAACTGCATCCAGAAGCTCTGTTCTTGCAATCCCACCTCCTGCTCTGGCTGAAGCTGCAAGAGCATGCCAGCAGCCAGCAAGTGGGGAAGGAAGGAGCCAGAGCAGCCAGGCTCACCCACACCCCACAGCAGCCTGACCCCTCGCACAGCAGCTGAACCATCCCAACAAACCCTGTCACGAGATTTTGACAGAGCTCTTGTCACTGCACAATGCTCCTGCCTGTCCCCTCTCTTTCTGTTCAGCACGAAGAGTGATGATTATCTTTTGATGTGTGTTTTTATGGTGTCTCACACAAACAGGGCCCAGCCCAAGCCAGGGATATTCAAGCAGTACCACAGTGGTGAAAGCAGACAGCTGTATCCTGGGAGGAGGAGGGCATGCAGCAGTGATCGGGGGCCTGGCAGCACTTTGCCCCAGCACTGCAGCCTCCTGGGGCAGCACTGTCTCCCACCCTGCCTGACAGGGCCTGCCTGGCAGCTCAAGCCACTCTTCAGATATAAACAGAGAAGGCTGACGCTCTCCTCACCTGCCAGAAGGGTCTTTCCTCTTCTCCCCCGCACAGTCCCACTTGCCCTTCTCCATCTCCTGCAGGAGGGCCACGTGCACGGGGGTGCTCCGGCCGTCGCTGCCGGTGCTGCCGCGGTGCTGCCGGCCGGGCTGGGAGCTGCGCTTCATGGCCTGGAGCTGCGCCAGGGGCACGATGTCGCAGCCCTGGGGCCGGTGCCACACGGTCTGCTGCGTGATGGCATTGTAGTAGTAGAAGCGGTTGTTGTTCTGGTCGAAGAGCTCCCACCACTGCTTCTGGTCCGACTGGCGCACCTTCAGGTTGGGGGGGGGCTCCCAGCCGCACTCCCCGGTGGTCAGGTTGACATACATCCGCTCCTGGGAGCGGGGCTCGATGATCTCCACCCAGTCCGAGCTGCAGGAACACAAGAGCCGCGTTAGTCTGGGCCAGAGGCTCAAGGCAAACGGGTTGTCTGGGAGTCCTACGGAGCTGCTGCCACTGGGCCAGGCAGCCCGACTACAGATCAAAGCATTGCTCGGGGCCGTTCAGCAATCCAACGAGCTCAGGAGAAGCCAGGGGAAGGGTTTGAGATGGGGCTGAGACAAAAGAGCAGCTCTTTGGCACAGGGAACGGGAGGTCACCTCCACCAGCCTGGACCCAACAAGCCCAAGGGCAGGCAAGCACGTCTGCTGATGGTGGGATAACTCACATCAAGAGCTGGCACAGTCACAAGAGTGCTGGTGCCTGGGAGATTAGCACAAGAACTTGCTTTCAAGAGGAGCGAGGATCTGCAGAGCAGGATCTGCTCCTTTTGGGAGCTGCACGCTCCACCTCAGGAGACCAAAGCTCTGTTTCCCAACAGTGTGGGCAGCCTGCCCCATGTGAGTGCCTGCCTGCAGACCTCTGGGTCTCACAGACCCTGCTCAAAGCCCACAATTGCCTGTCCAAAAGATAAATGTGAGGAGTGACTGGTGGATGAGACCATCTCCACTGCAGGCTCTTCCCCCTCTCCCCTGGCTGACAGGACAGAGCCCGCAGCAGGGTGTAAGGTGACCCAATGGACAGGCCCTGCTGTTGATCCACAATCCTTCTGCAGCCCCAAAGAGCCCCTTGAGCCTCAGGATCCCTTCAGCAGCACCCATACCGGCCCAGCCCAGGGCTCAGTGAGAGCAAGGCAGGCAGTGCTGTAGGACTGGTTTTCCAGTGCTGTAGGACTGCTTTTCAGGTAGATCAGTGTGATGGCTTTGATGCAGAGGTGTTGGGCTGCACGTTGACCTCTATCACTGACACACCAACCCCAAAGAGCTGGCCCCAGTGAAAGCAAAGGAGCTCAGCAAAGCCAAAACCATTTCGGATCATCCAGATAAACAGAAGGGGGTTCAAACCCCAACAAGGTCTCCTTCTGCAAAGGAGAGATGTTGCCACCAAAGTGACCCTGTCCCCAGTATGCTCAGCATGAAACCGAAAACCAAGATAAAAACTACACATGCCTCCCACCTCTGCTCACACCCCCCAGATCACAGCCCCCCACCTGTGTCTGTGGAGGCCGCAGGAAGGAGGCCAAAGGTACTTTTGTTATTAATAAAAGCCATACGAAGAGGACAGGTCCAAGGCCTCCAGGAGCTCACTCTGGCACAACCTACAGCTGCTTCCCAGCAAGGGCATGACAGCAGAAGCCACTACCACAGGAGAAGCAGGAGAAGGGAGATCCCACTGCCTCCCTCTGGGGTCCTTGGAAGGATCAGAGGTGATGGTGGCAGCACTGCAGCGCCCAAAATGGCAGCATGGGCTCCAGTGCCCAGCCCTGCTAGCACGGTCGTGGGACAGGAGGCGGCTCCTGGCAGGGCAGACCAGCCTTTGGCTCTGCCCCGGCTTTCTGAGGAAGGTCAGAATGTCTCCTATCACCAGGCAAGTCCGGGGGTGTGTTTAATTGCACACTGCACCTCCTTGCTAGGAAAACCGTGGGTGTATTCAGTGCTGAGCAGTCTGGCATGCAGCCCTAAAAAGCAGACTGCTCCTCAAACTCTCTGAGGATTCAAAATTGCTAGGGACAATGTCAATTCAACCCAAAATAAATGTGAACTGCCTCCGAAAAGGTGCAATTCCCCTGCCACATCTACCATGTGATGCTGACCTCCATGCAGTCTCAGACTACCACAGACAGGCTGGCTGGGGAAGCTGATCCGGGTGAAAGCCACTTTTTTTGTGGCATAGGTCAGTTTTCAGGCAGATCTGCTCATCCAGCCCAGACTATCACCACACAGCAGTTCACACTGACCCAAGAAGCAGCTGGGAGCAGAGCACACCACCTTTGCCCATGGCACCCATTCCTGCTGCTCTCCCACCATCACCAGAGCATGGCAGGCCACTGTCAAGAGCGTGCCTGCAAATGGATCCTTAGAAAACCCTGTGTTCAGAAAACATCTGGTTTGTTGTTTGGTATTTTCTGATCAAAACACCATCAGTTTCTCTATTTGATTTAAGGTGCAACATGAGCAGCCGTATCAGCATCCCATGCCCTGGCTCAGGTTGGGAACCACAGAAGCAGCCCTGTTCTTCCCAAGCAGTTGCAATGTCAAACCATAAGCACAGTCACTGTCATCACCAAAGGCATCAGCAACTGCAGAGAGGTGTCATCCATAAACAGGGCATAAAAGGGAGAACTGAAAGCAGCAGCAGAGCCCAGCAGCACCGGGAGCAGAGCAAGATGAGCATGTCCACGGAGAGAACAACTAAGTGCAGGTAGGATAAGGGACTGGCAAGGAGGGTCCAAGGGACAGCTCAGAGGCGACACAAGAGGAGCAGTAACCTTGGAGAGCACCGTAACTGTTCGTGAGGACAGGCAGACAACAGGAAAAGGGACACAGAGGACTGAGAAGGGGACTCAGACCCAGGTGGCCCAGTGGCACCTTTGGGGAGAGGCTGCTGTCAGTGCTGGAATGTAGGGGGGGCTTCACCCAAAGGTGGGGGGCACGGCCTGCCACACTGGGGAGGGGCTGGGAGGAGGAGAGGTGGTGTTGGAAGGGCTGGAAGGGGAAAGCAGGCGCAGCAGGATCCCCGCCGAAGCAGCACCGAAACGCACATGGGGATGAGCCTGGGAGTAAGGCAGGAGGCAGTTCCAGAGGATTTGTTTGGCGAGGAAGAAAAAATGCAAAATTCAGACCCAGCTGAGCGCCTGAGAGGCAGTTGAGCCACCAATCTTTTCAATGTTCAAGAGCACACTGTGTTTGATCTGTTTAGCCAGCAGCTGGGTTAGCAAAGCTTTGGAACACTGATGGCTGCACCCGCACTGCTGCTCCTCAGCAGAGAGGAGAGGTCAGCTATTTTCTGTTAAGTGCAAGCTATTGAAAATAACGAATTCTTCTCATGGCACTTGGCCACGACCGAGTGTGTGTTGCTAACTATAGTCTTCCGTTTTAACAAGCTTACATTTATCTTTGTGTGCAAAGACACGTAAGTGGGTGACTTGGGCGGGCGACCTCTTTGCTCCCCTTAATTGAGGGGCTGAGGATGACTGAGGTAGAGTTTAACCAGGAAAAAAATCTGCACAGAACACATTGAAATACTAAAGAGTTTGGTACAATCACACTCATGCAAAGAAAGAAAAGGAAAAGCAAGGAGCACATTCTTGGAGCAGGGCCAGCCCCAGGCTGCCATACAAGCCTCAAACATAACATCAGGAACTCTGGAAAGATGTGATAAACTCCGGATTGCAGAGAGATAAGGCCATAACTTGGACATAAAAAAAAATATTAATTCTCATTCCACTTCATGGGGTTAAAGAAGTCTCCCGGGAATGGTTTAAATAATGCTTTTCCCTGTCCTTTCAGCTCCGAGTGCTGAGGGATGCAGCAGTTGCAGAGTGTGTGCCCACTCCTGCTGGCACCACAGCGCTGCTCCCACCAGCAGGAGCTTGGGTCTGTCTCAGCTCCTGGGACTCGGTGTCCCCAGGACAGGACTTCCCTTCAGGCCCCATTTGCAGTCCCAGCCCAAACTCCCTCTGTGGCCCAAGTGTGGGGACAGGCAGCCTGCTGGCATTGGCTCCGGGGAACTGTCACAGCCACCAGAGCTGCAACGCACAGGGATTTCAACAAAATCCCCACTTGCTTCCAAAAACAAACCCACATTCCCAATGTGCATCCTCCTCTATTGTCCCAGATTCCAGGAGCTTCCTCTGTGTCCTGAGCAAACGCATAAATACTCTCCACACCTCGTAGCTGGGAACCAGGACACAGCTCCAGCTGCTCGCCCCAGCAGCCTGAGCCCCCTGACTGTGAAGGGAGGTGCCTCCCTGATGTTCTGGAGGGTGGCAAGGCCATGGGAGGTGTTGGCCCCCAAGCAGTGAGTTGCTGTGAGTAGGATGGTGCACCAGGTATGCAAAAAGCAGGAGGAAGAGTAGGGCCCTTTGTGCTCTACCACATCTCACGTGGGCAGACAGGTTTGGTCCCATTCGAAGGCTTCGCCTTCGCAGAGCAGCAGCTGGTTTTTTATGAAGGGTTACAGTGCAGGGAAGAGCCAGGCTGCTGTGCTCTGTCCTGCAGCCTCAAGGACACGGAGGATGGACATGTGCAAGCTTTGCTCCTTCAAAAACAGCTTGAGTCCCTCCTGGCTGCCATTCCTGCTTGGCAAAGTCTAGGAATAAAAAATAATAATGATAATTTTTAAAATGGGTATTTCAGCCTCAAAGGGCTTCCTGTGAGCATCTCCTGATTAGATCTTCTCACAAAGACTGTAAGTGTTTAGTATCAGGTCCAGGAAAGAATAATTTTTTTTTTTTAACTAGAGAAAATGTAGCAGGACCAGAAATGGAACGGTCCAGGTACAGGGGAAGAGTCACTTGCAGGAAGAGCTGAGAAACCCCAAGAAGTTAAACAGCAACTCCTCCACAGAAGAGCTGATTTTCCTGCCACCATGCCCCAAGTGACAACACAGCCCAGGTAGCCAGTCCCTGGACACCGCAAGCTGCTTGCAAGGCCACGCAAAGGTAAGAATAGGAGAGAAATATTTTCTTAGCTGGAACTGTCAGCTAAGAGACCTCCAACCCTCTGCATGAAGCCTTCTCCCCACTCATTACCTGCTCAGCACCAACTCAAGGAGACAAAGGACACCAAAGGCAATAGAACATCAAGGAAAGCCCTGGGAAACTTCTGCCTAAGGGAGCTTCACACCAGGCTGCCAGCAAACCCCTGTGCATGGCTACAAGGAGAGCTCCTAGAACTTGATCCCCCATTTATCTTCCATGCTTTGTAATTTCTGGATTTATCTTCCGTGCCAAGATCCCACCTCATTTCCCCACCTCCCTTCTTTGGGATGAGCCCTGTAGAGAGCTGGAGCAATACTAAGCCCTTCTTGGCCAAACATGGCTCCATAACAAGCAGGATTTCTGAAGACTTATGCCCTCAAAGGAGGCCTGCAGCATACTCAAAGCTGGCCCCAAGACAAAGATGTCCATTGTTCCCATCATCAGAGGTCATCCAACTGAGGATGTGCCACTGCAGAGATTAAGTGCCTTGTTAACAGGTCCTCCTTGAGGAGGAGAAGGAGGAATGGAGTTTGGCCATCACACATGGAGAGTGAAGTACAACTCCCAGCCACGGTGTGACAGTGGCTGAAGGCAGGGGGGATGTGTAGGGTCCAGGACTACTCCCTGCAGAGAACAGGCAGAGTGATGGGGATGGGCATCTGGAATGATCTGCCCTACAGAGATGAGGAGTTCGGAGCCTGCTTCGTGTGTTGCTAACAGAGCAGGACAAGGGGCCCATGAAAAGAGCAGAAAGAGCCTCGTGGAGAATGGAGCCACGTTCACAATCCCGGGTGCTCTAAAGGGAGGCCCCAGCAGCAGAACAAGGCAAACCAGTTCAGGAATGGGGAGTGGGTACCATCCCAGAGGCACCGCAGCTGCTGACATTGCTGATCCTCTGCAAGTCCAGGCTCCTGGCTGGCTGAAGAGCAGCCTGGGCTGTGTTCAAACCCTCAAACATCACTACAGATTTTTTTTAAGAGGATCACGCTTGCCCCTTCACCTTCTGCACAACAGGCAAAGCCACCTCTTAGAAAAACTTCTCAGTGCAGACACTGAGCACCAAAGTGCAACCTCCAGGTGGCTTGAGTCACTGCCATTTGCATATCAAAGCCGTAAAACTCATCTGTGTCCTGAAGCTGCAGAGCCCCCAAGAAGGTCTCTAGCACCAGCTCCTTACAGTGACCCTCCACCACCAGCTGACTCAGTCAATCCAGGCTTTATTCACTGCCTTCTCTCAGCCAAGTCCAGAAAAGCTGTAATTTACATCTTAGGACAAAAAAAGTATCCAAAACAACCCTCTCCCCCATACATACATACATATATATATATATATATATATGAACTTCTTTTAATACACACGCCTCCTTCTAACAAAAATTACAGAGGAACTAAAATAATGTCAGCCTGTTCCTAAAACTCTCCTGCTTCTGAAAATAAGTGCTATGCAAACAAACCAGCCTCTGCTTTGCAGGAGACAGACCAGACTGTGAAAATACAGAACAAATGGCTGTGATTGCTCAAAGCCTGAGCACATATGCTTAGCTCCAGCAAGAGCAGAACAGGGGCAGGCCTCTGAAAGCAGAGCCCAGCCTGGCAACACATTGCAGAGAGGAGAGAGAACAGCACCATGGCTTGGGTGGGTTAGGGGCACGAGAGAACCTGGAAAAGGTCCTATCACACAAAGCATCTCATCGCTTTGATGTTTTTAATTAAAAAAAAAAAACAAAACCAAAATGAAATACAAACACCAGCAGAGCCCCAAGCCTTCTGCTAGGTGATATTTTCAAAGACAGAGATGTCAGATGAGAAACTTGGTGGTCTTTTGGTTGCTTGGACTCTGCTGGCTCTCGCCCCTTTCCTGGCCATTCCCAAACTTTCCCCCAGCCCAGGTGCCAGCTCTGCTGGCTCCCATGCTGCTGCTGTTAGCCCCTCGATTCACCCTGGCTTCAGAGCAGAACAGGCAGCAAAGGGGCAGCTCATTCCATGGCAGCAGGTTGGGGCAGCACCAAAATTAACAGCAGATTCCTCCGAAATCCTGTCTTGGAGAGAAAGAAGTAAGAAACAAGGACTTCCAGGACACAGATGAGATTTCCTGGTGTCTCTATAAGAGGAGAGAGGGGGAACAGAGGGGAAAATCTCTCTAAGGGAGGACAGACACCTACAGCCCAAGACCAGTACCTGAACCTTGGGTGAGATGGATGCACAGGCATCTTAGATCCCATATGTCAGCAGGGAGAAGGGAGGGAAGCACAGAAACTCCCACCATGCCAACCTTCACGTTTCTCCATCATCCACTCCATGCTGAGTGGTGCCCACCAGGCTTGGACTGACCTGGTCCTGAAATCACTCCCAGCCCAGCCCTGGAGTCACACAGAGAGGACTTCCTGGGGAGGGGAAGACAGAGGGACTTGAAGTGCTGCTTGCCCCCATCCCATCCCTCATTCCCCCCACCATAGGACTGGGGGTTCTGCAACAGAGGGAAGAGCAAGGGGCAGGAAACACCCCTGTTTTCACAGCTTTGGGACAGAGCATAAAGCACCCGCTGGATGGGCACTCTGAGCAGGAGGTGTCCTGGTACTGGAGACACAGTCACAGGCACCCAGGGACTACTCAAACCAACGCGAAAGGAAACTGCACCTGAGGGCAGAAGGAACAGTAAAATCCACTCCCATTAAAAAAATCTCAGCCATGCAGATGGGTCTCAGCTCTGACTGCACCTGACAGCCAGAGAAGTGCAGGCTCCTACAGCAGCTCCTCTGTCAGAGGCGCACAGGGCTGGCTGCTGCGCCCGGGGAAAGGACCTGCTGCTCCCGTGGAGGCCACAGGCCTCTCGCTTCTCTCTGTCCCCAAACTGTGGTTGAGGGTGAGCACCTATGAATAGAGATCAGCTGTGGCCACTGCAGCCTGGGCAGAAGGCAAAAGACATGTCAAAAAGCATTCAGTGTCAAAAAGGTTACAGGTGCTTCCTGCTGTTCTTTGCCAGGGTCCCCAGGCTGGCCCAGGACACAGCTCTGGCAGGTGGCCTCTCCAGCCTCTCTGTCCCAGCCAGCCCAGGGGTCTTACAGGACTGGGGAGCACAATCACTCGCAGAGCTGGAGCCCCAGACCACAGCAGAGAAGTGAGCCAGCTTCCCTGGCCTGCGGGGCCTGCCTGGATAACCTGGCCCGCGAGCTGCTGCCACGGCACACCCTGGGTCATTCCTGCCACCATGGCTGGAGATTTCATTTTGCACGTGAGAGCACAAGCCCAAACCCCCAATCCTTAAACAGCCTCCCCAAAGCTCTGCTTTGCCCCAGACGCAGTGGCACCTCCTAAGCTCAGTGGAGGCTTCAGCTGAGTCGTTTTTCCTTTTAAGGGCTGAGCATTTGAGAATGAGTTGCAAAAGAAAAAAAAAACTGGCAGTTTTCATCCCCTCTCTCTCCTTCAAAAACGATCTGCATGGATCCACAGCCCCATCCAAATCCCAGCTGCTGGAGGGGAGGCAGCTGTGGGGGAGGCTTGGTGCCAGCCGGACGGTCCCTGCTCAGGGGACAGGGGGTGCTCTGGGGGGAGCTGAGCCTGGCACAGCTCGGTGCTGGCCCTCCCGCCTGCACAGCCTCGAGCTGCATCAATCCCACCACAGCATCAATCCCAGCACACGTGGGATTGGGACCGATACCAGCACCACCGCACTTTGACAGTGACTGCATCCCACCTCAGCATGCTCATAACCAGAGTTTGTCCCCAACAGACAGGATTTCCATGGGAAAATTTCAATTTTAGCAATAACCTAGAGAGGAAATACTTCAGAGTCGCTTACATGAAGGCATTAAGGGACAACCTGCCAGTACAGCAACAACTGACAACCATGGCTGGGATGCATCCTGCCTCCCTTCCATCCCTGGTGCTGCCCCAGGCATGCTGGGCTCAGCCCCAGGGCAGCAGCCTGATGCCTTCCCATCACCTCCAAGGCAATGGCCCTGGTTTCAGGGAGGATTAGCAGAGACACTCTGTAAGCACAGCTCGATGGGCATCACCACAGTCATCCCCCTCCATGGGGTCCCACCCAAGGGGGCAGCAGGACTTGTGCCAGGTCATCGCTAGACCCTTCCAGGAGTGCACATCTCTGCAGGGAGGTACCCAAAGTCATAGATCTGCTTTCTCTTCATGACTTCTTGGGACACACCAAGCTAAGACAAATGATTCCAGCTGGAACCGACCTAGGCTTCATCCATCTCAAAGTGTGCGCAGGCACCGAGTCACACAGGATCTGCCCACGATGGCAATCAAAGCACCTAAGAGCCCTCTAGCATGAATGCCCTGGGCAGTTCCTGTTTTTATCAGGGGGATGGATACAAACAAGAGGAAGGGATGGAGATGGAACCCTGCATGAGTCTCGATGAGCCCCAGCACCCACTAGCGCTACCCGCTGATTGAAACCCCAGTCAGTGACCAGAGAGCTGAACACAGCTCCAAGACCCCCACACCTCTTGCCAGCTGCTGAGCAGAAGTAAACCAGACCTAGGCAGGGTGACATTTCCCAACACTGACAAGGCTGCATGCGGGGCCAAGAGCATCATGCTGATAGAGCTGCAGGAACGAGGTGGGGAAGATACACGCGCCCAAAGCATAAAGGGCAAAAGCCCAGAGCCCTGGAGAAGCAGCATACATCAAGTGCTGTCCCTGTGCCAAAGCAAGTAATGTCACACAGATGATATCCCTGCTATTTCAAGGACACAGCAGCACCCGCTGCCCTCTCTGTCATTCTAGGAATTACTGACAAAGGTCTTATCTAGCTTGCTGCCCAGCTGCTTCAGGACTGAGCTTTACTCTCCCTGGCCTGCTGTATCACCGCTGATGTTTCCAGGGATTCCTCCCAGCATTGCCACGAAGCCCTTGCAGTCAGGGGCCCTGCAGCTGCTGCCTCAGACGGCTGATGCCGAGGAGAGCAGCCTGAGAACAGCAGGCTCCACAATCAGAAGCTGTTCTAGAAAAGCTGCAGCACCACTTAAAACCAGCAACTGCTCCAGTACCCTGGCAGCAGCCCACATCACTCACACTGTGCAAGGAACATGACTGCAGAAAGTGATGTTCATCATTTCTGTGCACAAATCCTCCTGGGCGCAGTGACGGGGTGCCAGGCATTGCACAGCCACAAACACACTGCAGTGCAGAGGAGTTTCCCCATACATTAGGGGAAAAGAATAACCATTTTTGTCCCATCTTCACTGAAGGGAAGAGACAGCCTATAGCAGCCAGGACAGAGCAAATTGAACAGCCGGGTCCCAGAGGCTCATTGACACCAGGCACAGGGATGTTTGTTTGCTGCACAAGGGAACACTGAGCAACCAGGAGAAAACATTTACAGAGGTTTCTGAACAGCGTCAGGGAGTGAAGGCTGGGAAGACAGGAACAGAAAAGGAACTTCCAAAACCAGCAAAGGGAAACCATCAGTCAGGACCTCAGGACAGAACAGCCAGCACGGCGAGAGCATGCAGGGATGGGGACTTGAAGGACCTCTCAAGACACCCACCTCTGGTCTAAACTAATTCCACCGGACAATAAAAAAAAACCCCACAGCTTTAGCTTTTCCAAAGGCGGCACAGGAGCCAGCAGTGGCAGGGAACAGGAGGAGACTGAGGCTGTAATTACAGGGTGGAGCACCTGCACAGCCAGGCCACACACAGCCAGCCCGTGTCACCCCAGGTGCCAGCTGTGGGTGCCCTACAAACAGCCAGAGCACAGAGCCTAGTGCATTCAAGCACCACTCTGCAAAGCTACATATCTGAAGCAGCTACATTCCTAAACGTCTGACATTAACAAAATAATGGCCCTCTGTCTCTCTTCATTTAAAGGGCTGCCAGTCATTTATGAGCTAAAACACAGAGTCCCTTGAAAATTCGTGCACAACACAGCCATGGACAGCAAGGGACCAGGTTATTTCTCGTCTAGCAGAGTCCACAAAACACTGTGGACTGAAAGCACAAAACAAATATAACAGTGTTTCATCACAACTTTTTTAGGCTGTTTCGTTCTTCAGCAAATCAGCCCGGCTGCAGCTGTCTCTGCTGGAAAAACTAAGAACAAATGCAGTGAAGCTCTTGAAAGTATTAGCTGTCCAAGCTTGTTAAGCGTGACTCAAGTTAACCACTACAATGCCAGGATGGCAGAGGAATTTGGCAGCAAGTCAAAAGCAACAGGAATAACAGAGTCGGCAAACAAACAACTCTCCCTTGTGCTGCAAGCTGTGATCAGGAAGCTCATCCTGACAGGACTCTGCAGAGGAGCTGCCTCAGTGTCTTCATTTTCTCCAGCCCAAAGCACACCAATTTCCTCTGGCAAAGAAACACAGGCGGTAAGTAAATAGCCGAAAACCTCAGCCACAGAGTTCATAAACCTTTTATAAAACAATAAGCAAGAAAAATTAATTTCTCATGGAAAAGAGATTCCTACATTTGTTTTGCCTACAGGAATTGCTGAACAACAAGCACATTGGACACAACTGTCAGGATTTTGCAAAGCCAAGGCACTGGACCCACAGCATCGGTCCCTCCCGCAGCCTGGAGCCTCCCCAGGGCAGCTCATGGGCCCCTGCTCCCTGCACAGCTCCAGCTCTGGAAAGCTCACCTACCCAGGAATGAATTTGCAGCTTGGGATGAAAAACACAGCCCATGTTTGATTTTTTCCATTGTTTTTTATTCTGCTGTAATAAACCGTGAAAAAACCTTCCTCCTAAAGGAAAGGCGTGTGTAAGTGTTGCCTCAAACTGACATTCTTTTTCCTGACTGTCTCCAAAACGTCACGGTGTGGGTAGGAATCACATCCCGTGAGCTATATTTCAACCTCTGCTTTGTCTGCTACACGATTGTGTCTGCAAGATTAGCAGTGACTATAGTAACACCTTCGAACTCCAAGTAAACAAAAGCACTAGTTATGTACAGTTCCAGTGCTTTGTCATTAACAAGATCTGGCTTGATTTAATGAGAAACAAAGACTGAGGCGCTTAACCTTGTCTTAAAATGCACTCACAGCCTTTTTAAAACTGAACGTCTCTGCATTCTTGCATTGAGCAAAGTTAAAGCCAAAAATGGTCTCCGTGGTTAATCCCAGCTTTATTTATATGACGGGGGAGAGCCTTTGCAGGGTAAATAAAGCTGGGATTAACCAGGGGAGACCATCGCAGTCTTCAACACGCTCACGAGCAGAGGCAGAGGGGCAAGTACTGAACTCTTCCTTCTCATGACCAGTGACAGGACTC